ATTTTAAAACTTCGTATGAATATATTATCAAGTTGATTGAATTCGCCCAAGCGGTCTGAAAAAGGCTGTTGAACTCCTTGGAAGCAAGTCAAAACTTGTGTTTATTAGTTGATTATTTAATGATTAATTGATTATATAAATGTAATTTAAAAAAAAAAAAAACAATTAGTATTGACAAGGCAAGTTTCTATTGGGACACGGTCTGAACATTACGAACCTAGCTTACATTATGGTGATATGTATCCTGTTCAGGGTCCAATAATGTTATATTAATTGGTCATCAGTTTTCTCTCTCCTTCACACGCACACAGAATGTATATAGTTTCAAGTTTCACCCTGTAAATACTCAGTTTCGTGATCAAAAACCAGAATAACTGTTTACCCATATTGAGTGTATTCTTTCTTTGATCCTTTCGTAGTGGTTTGCTTTGCTATTTCTACTTCCACGACAGTCAACAGCCAGTTCTGCTTGTCCTTTTCTTTTCATCTGTAATCTTCATATAGGTTTTCATCTATGGTGATATATGGTAGAGTTAGATCTACATGATGCACTTCAATTGTAATTGGTACCATTGAAATCTTATATGTATATATTTGCGGTAGAAGTAGGTGTCATTTTTTTTTTCTGGAATTTTAATCATTTTGTTTGATGAAATTAGGGTTTTTCTCCCAGGGTACGGTTAATTCTCTTCTAGACTAGTTTATGTATCCCAGCTTTGCCTGGTGCAAGGTAGGTGCTCTTTGCGTAAGGAATTGATATTCCTATCTCTAGAAAACTTGTTAGAAGAATTTCTGTAAGTGGTTGGTCAATTTGTTTTGTACAAATGGAGGATCGCGGTCGTTGTTTGCAAATGCAGCATCATCAAGATTCACATGTAATTAGGGTTGTCAACTCAATTTATTTTTGACAGATTTGGATCCGATTCGACTTTGAGTTATTTTTTTTTTTTAAATCAAATTTTTAGTTGATCAAATATTACTAAAAAAAAATCGAGGTCGGCTTGGATTTAAATTTTAAGTAAATTCGATCTGATTTGACCTAATATTTATATAAAAATTAATTTTTTTAATTATTTATTTAATTTTTTTATTTATATATATTTATATTTAAAAAATAATATTTTATTAATTTTAGATTAAATCGAATCAAATATAATTTTTATAATATCGGATTAAATTGAGAGTTAGATATGAAAAAAATAAAAATATTTTTGAGTTAGATTGAATTCGAGACGAATAAAAATTTGTTTCAATCTGATTCGTTGTCAACTCTACGTGCAACGCGTGTGTGTGTATGCAGTTTGAGCTTGAGAATCTTGATGATGCTGCATTAGCAATGAATGGCTACATGGACAACATATTAATCGATCGGCTACTTCCCTTCAATCCCAACATATATGGTGACTTAATCTCTCTCATTACAGGAAATTATTACAAGGGCAGGGTATAATTTATTGGTGGCATTAAATGTCAATTTGGATCTAAATCTATCTGTTTCTTTCTTTTTTGCTTGTTAATTCAAGATTTATGTTCTTTTTTTCAAGTGAGTATAATTTTGAATGGCAGATGAATGAAACTCTGGGAGCTTGGCATCATGAAGATCGGATTCATTATAACCTAATACATGTCGAATAAAGGTGAGAAGACTTTGCTCTCTCTACTCACTCTATATATATAGTACATGTAATTGATGATTAAATGGGAAATGAAACATATTCAAAGAACAAATCAATCATTCATTTGTGAAGTATTTTGCATTTGCATGATATATATCAATTATAAACCTTTCTCTTATAAGCATCAAAACAAAGGGATGAAAATCTAGGACTCTATAAAGTCTTAAATTCCTAGATACTACAATATATTTTGAGGTTGATTTTCTAATTAGTGTTTGATTAGTTTATCAATACAATTAATTTTTTGTTTCCAGAAATCTTTTTCACTGTAATCAATTAATGTCATCAATGTTTGTCCTTGGTACTGCTACTATCTCCCATTCATCATCTAAAAGTGGGGCAACCTTTCTGATCTGATCTTTCTGTTGCACTGCAAATTTTAATTGATGGTCCTCTCTGTTCAGTTGTCAATCATGCTGTTCATTGGCATCCTTCTATAGTTGCATTCATGCTTTACAGCCAAATGCTCTTTGCACGTGGTACTCCAGGTGATCAGATGACCTTATTAACCATCAAAATCTCAACACTTGTTCTAAATTGCTTGTATAGCATCAACTATTTCTTCACAAATATCTCACTGCTCAAATATGTTTCCACTTCAAATTATCATGAATTATGTACGTGTATTGTGTGAAACTTTAGTAACTGAATCCTGACTTAAGATGGAAGGATGGATATGGAGAACCATACAGAATAATAACCATACATCTTTTTTTTTTCTCAGTGCTGTTTGGGTTTGTATATTCTTTAATCTTTATCATCTACCTTTTTTTTTAAACTAAAATTATTTGAATTTAAATTTCTATTATTAAACAAAGAGTCATGTTACCATACACTTATTTGTTATCCTATATTTGGTTCGATTATATATTATTTTTAAGAATATTTTTGAGTTCAAAGAGTAAATTTTTTTTTTTCATTAGAAATTGTCAATTAATAATAAAATTATTTTTTATTTTTGAGTCGATATAATACATATAATATCATATCAACTTGATTATGTTACTATGTTATCCTACAAATTTTTCATATTCCACTTATAAATAGAAATCATCTAAATACTATCAATCCAATTTTACTTTTTCTTATATTTTTATTTTTTCTCCTTCTGACCTCTCTACTTTTGATATTTAATTTAAGCGATGAAATGTAAAAGTAAAAAATACTTCTTTCTTTTACTCTAATCACTCTTTTTTTTTTTCTGTGATTTTAAAATTTTAACTTTCAAATCAAAATTCGACATTAATAATTATGTTTTTGAAAATTTTTAAATTTAACAAAAGATATACAAATATACAATGTTTATTATCTAGAAGCTATCTCCTAGCTAATTAACATTGATTATCACAAATTCATTTATGATCTCCTTCTCTCATAAAATTAATAATCTTACCTTCTATACATCTTTTTATGGGGGTCTCTTTACCACATCTACTGCTTACATACATAATACATAAAGAACAAAGGGCAGTAAGTATGTCCATGTGGTAGCTAGATAGTGATTTTCTAGTGCTAGTTTTTTCTGATTCATATATCGTCCCTCCTTTGATCCTATCCTTAAAATGCATGTATCTGATTTCTAATATATATAATGTATGATAATGTCTTACATTTTTCTATTTTCTTTTTCGACTTGTTGTCGATTTGGATTCCCATACATAGAGACTTCAATATATGAACCTGAAATGTTTCAGACTTTCAACCCCTATAGTAGTAGTGGCTAGACCTCAACTTATAGACGATATCGATTGCTGATAAAGCGAATGCAAGATTTGTAATATTCTATGATTATGTGAGCTATGTCCAATAGAATTGATGCTATGATGAGACAGCCAAAAATTATGGGGTTTAACTCATTTGAAGGATGTTTTCACCTTTTATAAATGCATTCAAACTGATTGAAGATGAGCTCATATAGGTCGTAACCTTGTTCATTTCTGCATGGGTATCTTTTGATAAAAGCTCTCTGTCTCTGATGTAATTGGTTACTGTGTCATTGTGGCTCGTTAAGATCATGATGTGATCAGTGTCTGCAAATCAAGTATCCTTGATTTGACGTAAAGACTAACCATTTTCAGGCTTTGATTTATATATCCAGGAAACTACTTTATATGGTGCAAATTAATGAAGAAATCAATTACTGCATCATCTGCTTTCAAACAATGTTTGGTGCTTTTGGTAAAGAAAGAGATGCTTCTACTGTTGAGTCTACATCCAGGGAAGCGTACTTGTCGTTAAGTCACTATCAATTGGTAGGTTTCAGACCTCTTCCAGCTCTGACATGTTCATGTAGTGTCCTACATAGTTAAAATTTTCAAATGCTTTGATTGAAGAAACCACTTTTCGTCGACAAGAAAACAACTTCTTACTTATATATAATCTAACAAGGGTATGATTGATTGGGACAGCCAACACAATTTTTGACATTCCATTTATGTTTATATATTGTGTCGATATCTTTTTAAAATACTACTATATGTTTGATAATTCTCAACTGGGTCAACACAAAATTCTGATTATAGAACTGCTCAGCAAAGAGTGGCCATGCAGTGAGTGGTACACCTGAACTCACTGACAGTGAGTCATGAATCCACCAACTGCTGGGTGGTTCAATATAAGAACTTGAGAAGCCCACCCTTTTATGAGAAGGCCTCCATTCTTCAAAGCTCTGCAAAGGCCTATTTCCTTTATCATCTTTGATAACCCAAATGAAAGAAAGCTTCAAGCCCTCAAGCTATCTCCAAAAGCTGTGACTCAGCAAACTCAAATAAACTCCTGAAGCAAACAAAAAGTACAGAGTTGGGTTCTTCTGAATCATGCCATAAAAGACACTGATATTTATACCATGGAAGCTTTGTTGCCACTCTCTGCCATGTCAAGATTCTTTGTATTATATATTTAAGTGTGGAACAGGCCGAACAGCATATATGCTTCTACCATATATTTTCTCATGGTGTTTGACGTATTCCGTTCAATCTCGTGGAAGGTATTAGTCACAATAGGATGTGTTACGCTCTACCTTCTTCAACTTCCCCTCTATTACACAATCCACCGTTCACAATGGTCATAGAACAAACACTAACTCTCATTCCAGACTCAACCGTTCTTCTAAAAACCCCAAAAAGGAATCACCTTTACCACACTTCTTCAATGCAATCAAATAGAAAATGCAACTATGCAAGATCTTTCATAAACCTTAACCCATTTTCTCCATATGATCAAAAACCCCATTTGCCTCGTCAAACATTTTGTTATTTACATTAAACTCTAAAAAAACCACAAAACTTTTCAAGAAAATTTGGAGTCATTACAATCAAAACCAAGGAAAAAGCCTCAACTGGGTATCTAATATTACATCAAGGATAATAAACTTCAGTAGTACTTCATTCATTTCTTTGAGGTATCCAGCTTTTCACAATTTGAGAGAAAGGTTAAATGGGTTTTAAAATTGGGTTTTTGTGAAGTGAGAGAAAGGTTTGTTTTTAAAAAATTGAAGAAGAGGGTACAAGAATGAAAAGGATATTTGGGCTTGAAAGGGTGAGGTTTGACTGTGTTTGAATCGAGATCGGACAGCAGAGTTGGCTTGGTTTTAAAGGGTTTAAGGCCTAATTTTATTAGGGTTTTTGCCAAAACAAATATATTAAGAGGTACTTCTTTTCATTTCCATTGAAGTGTCTATCCCCTTGATAGTTTCACGACAACACTTTGGAGACAATTTGGTATATCACCATAACAAAAAGGAACATCAGTGTTAGATTACAATGGTGGGCCAATTGAAGCGGCCAAGCCGGTTGTAGGCTTAGTCCTCATTCTTAAGCTGCAAGGAGCATAACAACAGATTTCACTCTTGCCCTTTGATGAACCAGTAAATCTAAAATGAATGTCTTTGTCTCTAAATCTAAACAAGCAAATCTACATATTCACTAAGTCCTTGTTTGATCAGGCATCGCTTCAGCTTGTATAATGCCTGGCTCTCTATCTGTCTCACTCTTTCCTGAGACAATCCAAACATGTTTCCTATCTCAGACAGAGAATTCTGTTTACTTTCTTCAAAACCAAATCTTAGCCTGATTATCCTCCTTTCTTTTGGGTTTAGCACACCTAGAACGTTGTGCACATGCTGCCTCATTAGTTGCTTTGCCACACTAACATCTGGGATCTCAATACTGGTATCTGGTGTTACCTCCTGCAAGCATGACAAGAACAAAGAATTAGTCAGGATGGCCAGAGTTAAAGCTACATGTTTAGGAAAATTTTTAGAATTTTTACATGAGCGGCAACCTCCCCCAAAAAAACGCTTTTGCACGAAAATTTGCTTGTCTATGGCCGTTTACATTTTAATCAAGAAATTAGATGCTACCACAGGGGAATCAAACTAAAAAGAGAGCATTACCTGAAAGGTGGTATCCTGGTGCACCCATAAAGGTTGTTGCAAAGAAAGTGGCATCCTTTTTGCGAATAGCAACATATCCAACTTCTCAACTGTCATTCCAACACGTCTTGCTAGTTCTTCTTTGGAAGGACAATGATTTCCTTCTTGAATGTATGATTTCTTTGCATGCGATACTTTGCTCAAGAGCCTATATACACTCACCTGAGAACAATAAGTAGGTTCTTTGCTGGTATAATGTGCCTCAAATATATAATAAGTCATGTGCCTGACTTAAATATATGATAAACTTATAAGATCTCCAGCAACTAGAAGAGATATTGTCCTATTCAATATTATTATGTTACTAAAGAAATAGAAAACAGTGCAAAAAAAAAACTATATACTTTCAAATATCATGCACGGCTACATGTGTAGGTGGCATACATACCAGCAACAATAAATTTTACTTTTAAATTAGAAATTAGAAAGAAAAAGAAAATTGTAATTACCGGCAAACGGATGGTTCTGGAATGTTTCATTATAGACTTCTTAATTGCTTGCCTTATCCACCAGGAGGCATAGGTGGCAAATCGGCATCCAACTTCTGGTTTGAACTTCTCAACACTTTTCATAAGGCCTATACTTCCCACCTGCAACAAATCCTGAAGGCTAAGACCACGGCCTTGATATTGTTTAGCAATGTGAACCACCAGGAGCAAATTCGCATTGATCAATTTTTCCCGGCTTCTTTTTCCAGATTGGAGTTCTGCTTGCAAGGCTGAACAACTAAGACCCATGGCTTCAGCCCATTCAACCAGGGTTGGTTCACGCCCAAACTGAGATTGAAGCCTAGTCTTCACCTTAATTAATATCTTCAAATCCTGTAGGTGTTACATGCACCAAGAGTAAGACCTTTCACGAACAAAAAATTCCATATTTACATGCTTTAAAGAAGAGGCAGGAGAGGCAGGATTAAGAAAGGAACCTGAACTTGCATAACCAATTCAGACTCTTCTTCAGCAGTCAAGAGTTGTTTCGTCTCAGGACCCCACAAAAACAATTGAAGGGGATCATTGGGATCAAAACTTTTACTCGACTTTCTTCTTACATCCGTCCTTCGTGAACTGTAGGTCTCACGAATCGTAACTTTAGGTTTAGGTTGCACCATCCTTCGTTTAGCCTGTCTCTCTAAACGTCTTGTTGACCTAACTGTAACTGCTTCCTCCTCAACTGGCAGAGTAGAGGAATTAGTAGACCCCAAACTGCAATAGCATTAGATATCAGTCCTCAACGGATTAACCAAGAACATGAAAACACCTACGAAGACAAGGTAGAAACTAACCTATTAGAAAGTGAATCATCAAGATCTAATTTGAGGTCCTCAGCCAATGATGCAGCTTGTTTAGATGCAGACAAATCCTTATTAGCAAGGGCAGCTACATTACTTGGTTCAACATTCATTATCTCCTCGGTATCCACTACAACAGACTGCATATTCAAGGAAGATGATGGATTTTCCCCTAATACCAAGAGTGACAATCTGTGATGAAAAAAAAAAGCAATACATAAGGATGCAATTCGGGGGGGGGGGGGGGGGGGACGATTAAAGTCACAAGGGTTTAATGCAGGAAGCAATAAATGAGATTTAGTTCATTTACAATTGCCTTAAATCAGGAGACTGAAGCAACTGCTGTTCATATCCCAACCGGTCAAAGTTGTTGGCAGCTTTTTCTTTATGAAGTGATGCCCCATTCACAATCCGCTGTTTGTTTGTTGATCCCTGTAATGAAGTAAATCATCATATATAAGTAACGAATTGCCACAGAAATATTTGAGAAAAGATATCAACAAAATGACCGGAAAACAAACATAAAGGGCAAGTCTGCATATCCATATATGTTGCGCATAGATAAAACAAGAGTCTCACCAGGTATGCTTTATCTTCCTTAAGGAAGTGAAAGACAGGCAGCGGTTTGTAGTCATTGCGCTGCTCTTGAGAGAGAACTGATGTAGGAAAATTCCTAGCTACAGAAGTAATTAAAATCAAAGTTGGAGCAGGAGCTCCTTGCTCATAAAACATCGAAACTGCGAAATTGTAAATACAATGTCACTTATAACTTAATATCATTATCTCTAAGCACTTGAGAGCAAAAAACACATACATTCATGCATAAACACATATAGGCAGTTTTCTCATCTATCTATATATCTCCACACACATAAACAATTTTTCCAGGAACCTGGAAGTTATATAAGTATATGAATGACACCATTTATCATAAAGAATACAAGACTGCTGGCAAAGGAGTTGAATTTATGCATTCAACTTAAAAGCAAATTGGCCAATGAACTAACAGCGAAGTTTCCAGTTCTACTATGTGAATAATTCCCATTTCCAAGACCAACAATAATTACAAAAAAATCCTTAAGGAACAAAAATGCTTCCAAAAAAAATCCCAAGGAAGTCAATTTAAGAAAAAAAAAAATATATATATATATATATCAAACACCCTGAACAAAACAATTAGGTTAGTACTATTTATTACAGAAAATTTTAAGTGGGCATTGAACTAACAATGATCAGAAACAAAATAAAACTTGTTCTAATACTAGAAATAAATGTTACCTGAAGAAGATGATGATGAAAAGACAGAATTCTTGAGTTGGGTTCTTGTAGAAAAATTTAGAGGAGAAGAAAGCATATTCCTTGCAGCTTCCATTGATGGTAATGTCACTATTGTTTTTCTCTATAATGTAACCTTAAACTGCTTGTTTTGTTCTTCTGCGTATGTGCGTTTTTGTTAGTTCAAAAGCTTTGAGCTTTGTGGATAGAGAAGAAGAAGCTGAGCACCACTCTGCAGCCAAAAATTTTATCTGCCATTTCCACGCCTCAAATTTGGCAATCTAGTCCTCAAATGGATGAGGTTGGACCTTGTTTTGCTTGAGACCCATCTCCAATTTGATGAAGCCTAAGTTTCTGACAACTTAACAACTGATTTGGGTTGGGCGTTTTTATGTACAAACAGCCCACCAAAAAAATAGATGCTGAGAAATTTTATTAATGGGCCCAATGTCGTTATAATATTTTTCTATTTAAACGTATTTGAATTCACTCTTCGAAAAGGAGATTATAGATCAATTGTTGAATCAAATGTTTTAAGTGCTTGTAATACATGTTTGTTAGAAGAATAAGAGAGAGTTCCAAACTAATGAAATGACAAAGATAAACAACTTGAAAAGCTTTGTGACATTGAATTTAGTTGAGAAATTAGTTAGCAAAGAGATAAAATTAATTTTGCATTTAAATTCAAGAAATGCTCACGGCTTGACTTTAGGGTCTGGCAATCCCCAATGAAGAAAGGCCAATGGACAATGGGTTGTCATGTTTCTTCACAAATTAAGCTATTTGTAGATTAAAATGTTGCAATGATCCATTAATGTTGGATGGATAATGTTGTTTCCATTTCATTAAGAATGACTCTTTAACTTGTGTTTCCAAAAATATCAATTGTCTACCTAGTTGAAACTTATAAAATAATAGGTAAATGGTGGTCTTACATTATCATTTTTCGGTTTACATCAATGTTTGATTTGAAAACTTCATAAAATAATCCAAGTAGCCACTAGTTATGGGTGTCCCAGCGAAGAGGCTGGAAATTAGGGAGACCTGTATTCATCAATTTTATTCTATCAACCTCGATGGTTGGTGAACACCAAGCAACTTTAAAAACTTCTTGAAGTTGGGTTTTTAAGGATGAATTAGGAGTTCAGGCATTAAACATACTTTTTGATACAATAAGAATCATTTAATCAGATTCTCAATTTGATTGTAAACTCAAAAAATTATCAAATTGCAGAAAACTTCTCAGAAATTTAAATAAAATAAAAGTTTTATATTTGATATATTATCATAGTATAAACTTTATATATTATCAATAAATCAGATAATGACATCTCATTAATAAATAAATATCAACTCTTAAAATAAAAATATATAAAAATTAATATTTTTTAAAAAAATTATTCATTAATAAAATGATATGATCTTATTCATTTTATTAATAAAATGACATCATCCAATTCACTGATAGTATATTAAATATAAATCCATAAAATATTCCCAAACTCAAGCGAGTGCCAAGTTACTTCTTCATATCAAATATTCCCAAAATAGACAAAGGTTATTGTTTGTTCCCTTTTCTCGTTTTTCAATTAATTGGAATTTTAATTAGTCAAGTTGGAAGGTATTGGAAAAAAAAAAAGTTGGATGATGAATTTCTTAAATTCTGCTGTATGTATTTCTTTAAATAGAAATATGTTTTTTAGATACAGATGTGGTTCATATTGTATGCATTGTCGTTTTATTTCTTTGTTGAGATGGACTTGGGTTGGATTGTTCGTATACTTTGTAAATTGTATTGGTATTTCTGTTTCTTGGTCTAGTTTTATGGTTCCTTTCTATCTTGGTTTTGTATTAGGACTCTCATTCGTAGAGATATTGGTTTATTTCCTACTAACAAAAATAATTTGAAGAATAATTTATTAAATTTAAAATAATAATTGATGGTAAAAACAATAAATATTATCAAGAAAAATACTATCTTAAAAACCAAAGCTATGTAATTAGGATGACGAGTTTATAATAATATTTTGTGAACTTTGTGTAAAAAAAATTAATGCTAGAATGGGCATGACAAGTTAAAGAAAAAAAAAAGATTTAAGAAAATGAATTTGTCTTTCCTCACCTCTCATATGTTGTTTTCATAAAATGCAATTGATACATTGCATGCTATGAGAAATAAAATATCAAGAAAACATTATTTGTATTGTTTTGTCATTAAAATATTTCAAGTTACGAGAACGAGAAGCTGCTCTTGAATTTAGATCTAAATCTTAAAGTTTGGTGACTTTGGTGTGAGTATGACTAATGAAATGCAACTTCACACTTTTATTCCTTGTTACCTAAATGTGTAAATGATACATTAGTACTCACAAGTTATTCGGATTTGATTTGAAGAAAACTCGAATTCGGTTTTATTATTATCGAATTGAGATCGAGCTCGAGTAGCTCGATTTATCGATCAAGTCAAATTTGAGTATTCTTATATCCGATTCGAGTAGCTCACGAGTCTAATCGAACTTTTATATTTAAATATATTTTTATTATTTTAATTAATAAAATATTTCGAGTTTGAGCATGAATAATTGAACTCTTGTCGAATATACGAATCGAGTTTATTTTTACATATTAATCGAGCGAGCTCGAGTAACTCGAATTCAATCACGAATCGAGCTCGAACCAAATATTGAGTTTCGAGTTATGAGTCGTGCTCGAACTCGAACTTCTCACTATTCAACTCAACTCGATTCGATTACATCCTTATTACTACCAACATATGACTTTCAACCATTTTAACAAACACTTGTGCCACCTTGAGTTTCCAATAATATCTAAATTCGTTGGATTTCAATTTAATTTAATTTAATTTTTTTTTATTAAATCGGGTTTTGGATTGAATTAGATTAAAGTTTTGTAAAATAAAATTGAGATAGGGTTTTCGGTAAATATTTTAATTTGATTCGTTGTCATATAAAAAAATATTTTTTTATGATTTATTTAATTATATTTATATATATTATATTAAAAAATTATTATGTAATATTTATGTTAAAATATTAACTTAATAAAAATAATATATTTACATATAATTAAGATAAATTTATATTAAAAATTAATATTTTATAAATATTATAATAAATTAAAATTATTAAATTAATTTTAAATCCAATTATTTATTATTTTATACATATATAAATTGAATTCGGATTAATTATAAAATATATATATTAAATTATATTTAAATATTTATTTTATAATATCAAATCCGAATCGAGACGATAAAAATTCACCTAATCTGTCCCTTTACCGTCACCACTGCCACCATCTCTCCTTTGTCTTTTACACTATTACGTTATTTTATATTATTAAGGACATTTTTATTTGTCAATTTTAGTGAACACCTGATAAAAAATTTATTTAAAAGGTAAAATTTTATAAATTTATCATAAAAAAATTTTATTTTTTATATACAAAAGGTAGACTTGGAAAGAAATTAAAAGCAGTGAATATGAAATTTGAATTTGATTGGAACCAATATCACAAAAAAATGAATGAACAAGACCGCATCCAATAATCAAGATTCCTTGTTTAATGAAGAAAAACTTAGAAATATTATTCAAATTCAATTTCCAAAATAAATCAGAGCCCAACAAAATCACACCTCAATTATTGGAAATTTGTAACTGAAGCTAAATTTTTGGCAAGAGACCTATCAATCCAAATCATTGTACCCAAAGTGCGATCCACCGAAACAAAACATCTGATAAATGGGACCCACCATCCAGACCCAAACTAAGGAAGGGGCCGACCTTACCTCTATTATTGGACCCCACATCACAAACCTCGATGAAGCCCTAGCTCGACACGTCAACTAAACTTTCACGTCGAGACAAATCCCACCCCACCCCTTTTCCCCTCACCTTTAAATAGAGGCTTTCCTTTCCTTGATGTGGGGTCACCAGAATCCCACACCGCCTAAATTCGCCTAAATACCGTCTTCTTTAAACCCTAAGCCTCCCTTCCATGGGCTCTGAAATGGCGCTACACAAATCCCCCAACACCGCCAACCACGACCACCACAACTCGAACATTAACTCGGTGGTCACTAACGAGTCTTCTCCCAGGAGCCAACTCGCTCTTCCTACTCGGAAACCCGTTTCTTCGCTTTCTAAAGACCGTCACACCAAAGTGAATGGCCGTGGTCGTCGTGTTCGGATGCCGGCACTTTGCGCGGCCCGGATCTTCCAGCTGACTAGAGAACTTGGCCACCGTTCCGACGGCGAGACCATTGAGTGGCTGCTCCGTCAAGCTGAGCCCTCTATCATTGCTGCTACCGGGTCCGGCATCGTCCCTGCAGCCCACGAAATCTCATGTGCCTCCGGACCCACAACGGCTTCCGCTTCTTCGCCTTCGGTGTCATGTCAAGTGCAACCAGTAGGGGTTGGTAGCGGCGGCGTAGTGGCGGGGATGTATACCATGACGGTGCCACCGCCGAGTTGCCGATTGGACTTGTGCCAACCAATGGGGTTTCAGTATTCAGCTGTAGGAAGAAATAGGTATCAACACATGCCGTTTACAGCGTTGCTGTTGCAGCCGGCGGCGGAGGAGGAGGTGGAGGAGGAGCAGGTGGAAGAAGAGAAAGAAGAGATCAGGCATCATGAATAGAGATGGGAAAAGAAAAGATGAGCCATCAGCCATATATATAATCCTTATTGTTGGGTAGTATTTTCATTTTAGTTTAGATTTTAGAGTTTCTGGTGATGAGTGTTTGAACTTATTAGCTAGAATTCCGCTCTTTTTTATTTTTTCTTCTTTCCTCCTTGTAAATTTTCTAGAATGGAAATGAAATATTTCGAGTTTTTTATGGTTTTTTTTTATTTGTTTTGAGAGTGCCTTTGAAGTGACAGGAAAGAAATGGAGGAAATGTAAGATTTGCAGGAGCATAGAAATGACAGTCAATTTAGGGGTTGACGAATTTTTGGGTTTTTAAAAGAAAGTTGGTCTTCTTCAAAAGATTGACCCACCTGGCTAAGCACTCAACCTTCCGTAAAGAAGGACAGAGGACTAAAACTGTTCTCAGCCTGGTCTTGTCAATGGTTGATCAGTCACATTTGACCAATTCAAACAGAGAACACTTTCTTTTTTTTTTTCAATTTCTGGAAAGTTAAAATTGAGAATAAACTTAACAGCTAGTAAATTTCTCAAATACTGAGATTCATTATGTTTGAATCAATAAAGAATAAGTACGAATAACAGATATATTCCTGCTTGATTTCTTTCGTGTATGCAAAAAATGGAGCTCTGAATGCCTGTAACATTCAAGGGAAGGTACCCCCCCCCCCAAAAAAAAAAATCATAATACCTTCTCTTTCTTGCAATATAAAGTGGCATTAGATACCATGTTGTGAAGGAAAATTTTATTATGATTGTTCAAAGGGGACTCAATTATGTCTTCCAGCAATCGAACAGCTTGGCTCATCTTTGTTGTGTTAGTTCCAAATATTCCACCATTTTTTCTTCCTCCGAACCTCAGCTGGGGGAAGATCTGGAATCAAGAACAAAGCCAAATTTAACAAATGTTAGTGGGATGATGCTAGAACACTGAACTGTGATGCAAATCCATTTTAAGTTCAAAACAGTGTCTGGCAGACAAGTATTATAGGCTTCCAAATTGTTCTATCAAAGATTCTTCATATAACCAATTAGTTCCAAACCTTGGTTCACATACCACAAGAAATTAGCTAAGCATTCCACTTGCATTTGAAACAGTATGTAAATAAAAAGAGCTCTTTTCGCAGAGTTTTTTGGTACTGCTTCTATCGTGCTCAAATAAGAAAGAAATTTCTATGGAAGCTAAATAAAAGAGAAAAATGTAATATAATCATCACCTTGAAAGTAGATTGAGTTGTAGTGAACTTCGGCCCAAAAACTCAAGAAAATGACTGCATTTGTACACATAACAACTCGTAAGCCTTAGCATATACAAGAAGAGAAACAAGTTTTGATGAAATCATTTCTACTATTTTTTGTCTTTTGCAAAAGTTGCAGTTGGATACAAAAGCAAACAATACTGTTTGAAGAAATTAACAATAAAGAGAGCTTTAATTGGATTATAAAAGTGCAGGACCTTACCTCCTTTTGACTTCTGAGTGTTAGGAAGAATCTCGATGTAACAAGTGTCCTTAAAAGAAGTTATAACAAAAATTCTCACACCATACTGCAGAAAAGGTAAGATGTTGCTAGTATCAGAAATTGAATAATGCATAGGCACTTGATCATAAGCAAATTGGAGAGAGAGAGAGCTACACCATACGGGGGGGAAGTGAGGGGATGATCGAAACAAACAGATATAGACTCTGCTTCGCAGCTAAAACACTATGCATCATGATATTCGCACTTAATTTCTTTACTTGTTAGAAAGTGAATGAAAAATATTCTAAAGAGTTAGATTCAGGCAATTAAAAAAAGAAATTTTCAATCATGTAGGTGTAAAATTAGGAGAATATCCATTGCAAGAAATGAACCAATAAATGAAACAGAAAGAAAGAATTACTTGCATATAAAATTTATGGTAAATTGGCAATCATAAAAGTTTTCAGTCACAACACAATTTTCTATCAGAGGAAGGTGTTTGCTAATTATAAAATTTATAAGACATACCGAGTCTGCAGCTGCCTGCAGTGTAACATGATCACCCCACTCGCCACTCCTGTCATCATTCATAAATGGTATTTACATTGCTATTCTCTGCCCAAAAGCTTGAATGATTAATAAAAAGAAAAGAAGATAGTTTAACTAATACTTTGACATCCTCTTCAAATAGTCAGCATAATCCATAGGGACGTATCCTTCATATGCCTCTGGGTGAGATTTAAGCTGGCCAAACATGACATTACAGTGAAAGCTACATCAGGATCAATATGTATGTGTTATACCTTAATAAACTACTTTAATGTCTGAGTGTGAGCCGGCAAAAATTTAATTCAGGGACAACAAACCTGATTCACAACTTGTCGTCTCACATATTTGTGATTGTCAGGTGTATGATATAACTGATCTGCCAGTGCACGGAACTGGAAAAGCAAAAAATTGATAATAAATATTATTCCAGAAATGCACAGGTCAAACCACAAGATAAAGAGAACGCACCTGACAGTTACCATCTCCTTGAACCTTGAGCTCAACAAAACCGTATAGCTGCAATCTGGATAGAAAAAAAAATCTAGCATTAACCTTACGTAAGTGATGAAACCGAATCACCAAGCCAGCCAACAACACTTTTCATTAAAAAAAAGCTCCTTGATATACTACTTATTCACATAGCATCATGCTAAATAGGAAAAAAAGAAAAGAACAGTACAAATAATACCTGCTCAACAACCTTTCATGATCAGACATTGCTTCATCAATTGATGGTATTTCACCATTGATTCTAGGGACATGCTGCAATGAACAGATTTAACTGCATCAGAAGAAAAGGGCAGAGATGCAGGATCTCATGCATCAACCAAGATTAAAATCTTTTAACAATTTTAACACAAAATCAGAGGATCCCATATAAGGACATAAAAGTAAACAATAGACACCAATGACACTTTTATAAGTTAAACTTACAGGAATAGGAATCATTTGGTTCAACCTTTTGCCTACTTCATCATCATCTAGTAAATATCCATCAGTCAGCTCCAAAGAGCAGGACCAATCCTCTGAATCACTGGGGCTAGAGCATGAGCTAGTTGGCACCGGATCATCAGATTCATCCTGGCCATACTCATAGCCTGCACTTTGTGGCAAAATAAATTATAAATAATGGTAAGAAGATTAAAAAAAAAATGAAAATCAAATAAATATGCGAGGAAAACTCTCTGGCCACCTGAATAATAGTTGGCCCTTGTTGATGGACCATGCCAATCATGAGGTTCACTGGATGCTTGCAACTGCTGTTCTCCAGCATAAGAAAATTCAGAAGCTTCTGCCACTGCGAGATGTGAGAATTCTTCCTGAAGGGTACGAGCAATGACCTCATCATTCTCTATCTGGCTGCTTTGTGTATCGGTTTGACCTCTATAATAGTGTGCATGATGATAGATGTCACCAGCATCATGCTGTATCATGTCACTATGATATGCAGAATGATAAGGGTGCCCCAGAATCCAATGCACAAACTCTGAACCTTGCTGATACATAATCATCAACTTCAAGCAATATTTCCAAACAAAAAACACATGACCATCTGTACAAACAATTCCTAATTAGATTTTTGTAACGCACAAAAAAGCATTTGGATACCCATATTCATGCATGAAGAAACAAGTCCTAAAACTGCAATTATACCCTAAAAAACTAAAGGCTCTGCCTCAAGCATCAAATTAAGATACTGCAGCGATACATTCTCATTATGGCAGGTTAGTTTCCTATCTCATCCAATCAATGGAAAATTAAAACACTAAATTCTTCACTGAAATTGACCAAGTTGATATACAAGTTGTTCCAGAATTTTCAAACTATCTCAAAATCAATTAACCATACAGCACCAAGTTCTTCATCGAGTATTTTTATATTAATGATGAAAATAAAAATTAATTGTTGTTTGTCAAGCTGTGTTTCTTTGTGAAAGTTCACCAAAAATAAAACCTTGAAAAAACTAAAAAAATAGTTAAAACAGATTAAATTTTTTCCATAAAGAAATTAAAAATGCTCTAATAAAGAAATGATATTTGCTCCCACAACAAAAGTGAGCACCATTTCTTATGAGCTAAGAATCCAGATCACCTTGTTTAAAAAGAAGCTGAAAAAGAGTTATGAAAAAGATAATACTATCTTTTCAGACAAAACCCTAAACTGGAATCAACTCTATCAAAAGTAAAAAGCAATATTACAATAAAAATAAAAATAAAAACTTTTTTTGAGTAGATTTCCATCATACAGCAGAATAAGATCATGTTAGGCATCTAACTGGACAAGTCAATTTCTATTATATCTTAAAGTCAACAAAAACCTTAATTGTCAACAGTCAAAATAGATAACATTGAGTTCTTTATTTGCCCTTTTGATCTAGATTCAATTGCAACAATTCTCCACATAGCATTTCATTTCCCCATAAACTAATGAAAATTTAATGGCTAAATCCTTTGATAATTCTTTAAAAACTCTCTCATCCTTGCCAAGGCATAAACTTATATTTCTCCACATAAATTAGTACTTAGTAATAACCGATACAAAGAACAAGGAAACCACAAATCAAAAACATCAATTTCCAAAAAATACAACAGATTAATTCAAACAAAAACTTGATATGCCAAACAAACAGAGAAACACATAAAGATTCAATAAAAAATCCAAACTTCAGTATTAAGCAACCTCAAAAATGAGAAGAGAAAATACCCAGAATACAGAAACACTAACAAACAATACCAATCAAAACCCAGAAATATATGATCATTTCCAGGCCCAATTCAATCAAAACAATAGAAAAGAAAAACAAAAACAAAAGCCATATGGAATTTAAAGTACTCACCAAACCCAGAAAGATTGAAATCTTGGTTTTCAAAAGAAAGCAAAAAGGACAGAAAAGAGCAAACAAGGAACTATTGCTGTATTAATGGAGTACACGAGTGAGAAAAGATAACGATCAAACGTTGAAATTTCTTGAAACCCCAAAAAAAATATAAACAAAAAATCCAAGGTTAAGCCTTATTTCACGTATTTATAATTAATATGTTTCCCGCGGACGATAAAGCGACAAGCAAGCCCAACCCGATTCTGTACGGACGGTCGAGCGGATGTGATTTTTCGTTGAATTTAATCGGCCTTTTCCCTTTTTCATTTAAATGATTTTTTTTTTTTTTGAATCTTTAGGAATCTGTGGCGAATAATTTGGATTGACTTGAATAGTAAGTAAAATGAAGCGTTGAGATTCTTCATTAGATGGAGAAATTACGAGATATACGGCTGTGATTGCGCGATTTGGTCCTGATTAGGGTGCTGTGAAAATGACGGTTCCCACCTTTAAAAGCAACTTTGCCGCAGCCCTAAGAATTCAATTAACGACCAAAATGGTCCAAATAGTCCAAAGTTGCTGTATCATTTGATTAATTCACAATTTAATTATTGCATAATTTTTTATAGTTAAATATCAGAATTAAATCTTAATCATTAAAATTAAAAATTTTAAACTTTATCAATAAGCCGTATAACTATTAATTATTATAATAATTGTTAACAGATCTAAATTATTTAATAAAATTTAAATATTTTATTTATAAAATTTAGATTCATTTTTTATTTTTAACAGTCTTCAATTATAAATACGATATAAATTTTCGTTGAAATCTTTGTATGTCAAATCTTAAAATGTAATAGGCTTTTCTTTTACACACTTAAAACTTTTTTATGAAAAAAAAAATCTGAATGAAAATTGCAGTAAATATAAATTAATTTTTTTAATTTAATTTATAATATATATATATATATATGATTTTCCTAAATGAATAGATTTAAAAATTGCCGCCACCTTATTTAATTTTCCACTAAATTTTTTATATGTTATGCGGCTGGTGTTGAATTTTATAGGGTCAGCAAGTGGCAGCAGATAAATTTATGACCGTCCAAATTTTTTATATTTGTCCAAAAATATATAGTACTACTCATTTTTAATAGTTGGAAAATTAGCGAAATTGACGTTGTGGTTTTTATTATTACTATGGCTGGAATTTTCATGGTTGAGAATAAGTTTTTTTTTTTTTTTATATAAATAAAAAGATTTTATTTATTCCAGAAAAATAAAAATATTATTAAGACTGTATTAGCCAAAATAATTAGGATGCAAATAATCATAAATAAAAAATAGAGTAATTTAAGCCCTAAACTATTTAAAGGTTTCTATTAACATGATTTTACCTAAACATGCTTCAATCATATTAATCCCAAAGTGATAACCTATTTAATATGAGTTAGGACTTGCTTGGAAGATTGCTACAAGTTTCTATATAACCTGTTGTTGCTCTCCTTCACTCTTAGTAAATGTAAGCATTCCAAACAAATCTTTAAAATAATGGTAATCAAGAATTTGCTTTGTAGATTTCTCAAGGCCCATAGCAATGGTAATCAAGGTTGATGACAAGTTTGTTTCATGATTAATTGTTTGTTTATTATTATTATTATTATCAAATGTCTGTTTCATAATCATGATTTTTAATATGAAATTAACAAAGGGTTACTTTAAATGAGACAAAAGGATTAATCTAATTGTCTAACTTATGATATGAAAGCCTTTAACATGTTGTGAGAAGGCACCATTGAAACTTGTCACCTCTAGCATGTTATGAGAAGGCACCATTGAAACTAGTCAAAGTGTCAACAGAGACAGGGAAACCAAAAAAAATTAAAATATTATTATTATAATGTTTTTTTTTTGGTAAGCTTTGCATTGGGTGAAGATCCTATATGGAGCACATGACATAATAAAAATCCCAAATATGTTTTTATTGTTATACATAGAGAAAATATGAGACAAATTGTCTTAGAAAAATACATGCTGTGAACATCTTGCCCATACATGTTTCCAAACCCAAAAAACAAAAAAAAGCTTCCCCAAGAAGCAAAAAGAATCACACAGTACATTTCAAGCCCAACACCCTCTGATATCTAAATGGGAATGTTACAATAATTTCCCATAAGAAGTTGCAGCAACTGAAAGCTTTTTCACATCTAGGTTTAGAGAGCAGCTTTATACATATTAACAAAGGATTTCAGGACAATTTTCCTTATGTATAATTGAATAGGATGCTTATTACATTGCTCAGTCAACTTCTTGCTAAACCCTTTGAAGCTCTATGAGGTTGTTTCAAGTTATATCTAACCAACTGAAAAGGCTGCAGGTGAGGTTAGCTTATATCTTGAAGTTACCTGCTGTTAAAATGTTCCTACAAGCTTTGGAGTCCATGACCGAAGAAATTTTTCACCACTTCTGAAATCTAGTCCTTTTATGTTTTCTTTCAGTTTCCCTAGAGGCATCCACGGATGGCACCACCTTCAATGGTGGTTCAGGGCTTCCGGATCCTGCTGATGCCTCCACTATCCGGTTCACCATTTCTAACACCTCACTCATCTTAGGGCGTGACTTTGGATTTCTGACTAAGCATCGGTTGGCCACACTTGCAAGCTTCTGGGCAGACTTAAGCTGGTATTTCCCTTTCAGTCTAGGGTCCAATATCAACTGGAATTTCTTCACATTAGATAGGTATGGCTTTACCCATTCCAAAAGCTTTTGCTCAGCCTTCGGGCGGTTTTTGTCTAAAGGGCGCCTACCGGTAATGAGTTCATAGAGGAAGACCCCATAGCTCCACACATCAATCTTGGATGTGAGACGTCCAGTCTGGATGTATTCAGGAGCAGCATATCCCATTGTTCCAACAACCTGTTGAAGACCAACCGTTTGATGCTTGTAAATAAATTGATGAATAGACAGGAAACAATATCATGACTCTAACAAGCAATTTTGACTGCATAAACTTAATACTAAATACTAGACAAAAAAAAAAACAAAAACCATTTCTTTCTCATGTAATTTGAAATGAACCTGTTGTGTTTCCACTGAGTATCTAAGGGCAAGTTCCATAATCTTATAAGGTTGAAACCGTCCATTGTTTCAAATATGCTTTTAAGGCAAACCCAACAATATGAACAGAGTAATTAAATGCATCACTGACCACAGGACATTTGAGAATTAGAAACTTTTGGAGGTTTTCACCGGCAAGACACCTACCATAGATGATAAGAAAATTACGTTACTGTGTAAACCAGTTTGCAAACTTTACATTATTAGAGTACTAAAAATGAACCCTGACATTGGCCAGAAAAAAAAAAAAAAAAGAAACCTGACTAGGTGATACACTTCAAGAAATAGATTGTTCATTTTGCCTGAACATACCGCTGTTGAAACATGAGTTAATCCTTCTGAAGGGCCCAACCTGGCTAATCCAAAGTCTGATAACTTTGCATTCCATTGCTCATCCAGAAGGATATTCGAGGATTTAAAATCCCTGAAGATGATCTGTATTCGAATATGATAAAGAAAACCTATATTAGTATCATGCAAAACAGTCTGGAAAATTTTCTGTAATAATTACCGGTTGAGGCAACAATGAGGTTCTCCTTGGAAGGGGATTTCAGGAAAAAAATGCGAAGGTACAGCAGAATACCATGCAAATGCTGAGTGCAATGGGTAAGGAATTGGTCAAAAAACGGTTTATATCTGAACCGGAAATTTTATAGCATTATACCTGGAAATCCATTCCTTCATGTAGGTATGCTAACCCACATGCAGCATCTTGGGCTATTTTCAATCTCATTGCCCAGGAAAGAGTTGTCTCTGACCGGACAGATAAATGGTTTTCCACACTTCTATTGGGCATATACTCATATATCAAAAGCCTTTGGATTCCTCTTTCATCATCTTCAGCACAGTAGCCCACCAGCTTTACAAGATTTGGATGCTCAACCACACCAAGGACATTTACTTCTGTCACCCACTCCTTGTGCCCCTGTCAATTGATAGGTGGGATCTTAACGTCACAAAAATTAGTAATTCTCAGTTCAAAGTCACAGGAGCCATCTTATTTCACAGTATTTTAAATGTATGCATCATAAGCATTAAATAGAGTCTATAGAAGAGGAAAACAATCCTTATGCAGCAGTACCAACAACAGAGCAAATTTAATCAGGATTTTCTGGCGAAATATACACATTTCCTAATCTGTGTAATATCATTACTGGGACACTCTACCTAAACATCAGTTTTAATAGGACTTAGTCAAATTCATTGAGTGAGTATAACCTCCAGCTCTACCTGTTATTTACTAAGTTTATTACCAGACACAAAATAACGTTCCAGGACAGAAAATTGAATGAATATGGATTTAAATACACCATGCAGCTTCTTGTCAACAAGCAAGATCACTAAAGTGTAAAAAACTAAGATAGAACCTACAGAGGATTCAGACACATAATATGCATACAATATCAAAAGTTCTCCACTATAACAACTTATAATATCAATGATCTCTACCTACACATTTCAAAAGATTAATAATCAAACGCAATTCAGAAGAGAAACTTTCAACATGTAATATCAAGGAGCCTTGCCTGCAACCCCCTTTTACCAAGCTGTTTCACTGCTACTTCAATCTTTTGAGATGAATCATCAGGACCCTTAATAAACCCCTTGTAAACACAACCAAATCCACCCTCCCCAATCATGACAGAGCGGCTAAAATTCTTGGTGGCAGATTTAAGTTCAGAAACTGTGAACACTCTCAGATTGCTAGGTCTTTGAGACATGCTAGGAAAAGAGGACCTCCCCATGGACTCAGTGCTGATGCCTGAGACATTCTGAGAGTTTAATTCGGACCCAGACCGCCCTATTTCACGATCAGTGAATATAGAATTCATAGACCGATTTGAAACTGATTTGGGAGTCTTTGGTTCATCTTTTTTATCCCAACTGGGGAACATAAAACACTTCATAGCCCTCAAAGAATTAAAACACAATAACTTCCACAGTGCAGATCCAGATCTAGAAAGAGATAGATATGATGAAGCAGAACAAAGACTACCTACAAAACCTGCAAAGTCAAGAGCTAAATATAAGGAGAGAGTTAATTTTTGCAGAAGAATAGTTACGATGCTATAAGTTAAAAGACCAGGGAACCCAACGTTGATCTCTTTACATGCCAATAAGAAAAAACATGCCATGAACAACAAATTTTAAGGTAAGCTCAAATTCACATTTTTCGTCATGGTGAAGATTAGAAAAAATGCACGAGTTTAGAACCAACTAGATTAAACAAATTACTTTACAAAGCTATATCACACATAATGAAAAGGCAAAAGAAAGCAAATGCCAATAAAAAGGTTCTAAATTCTAATAATTCCAAGGAATCCTACATATTCAGTTTTATAGATATCATCACTTTTCTGAGCAAACCAATTTCCAAACGCTGCCTTTTTGGATCATAATCCACAAGTCAAGAAAAACAAAAGAAAAAAAAAAACCCTAAGAATTTTGTTCCATATTTTCGTAACAAAAAATCAGAATATAAGCCAAAAAGGAGAAATTTTCCTTGAGCTCACCTTCACTTTTCTTGGCTGGAAAGGCAAGGATTTGGCTACTAAACTTGAAAAAGCTCCCAAATTTAAGGATTTTAAGAGAAACCCATCAGTCCATTGTCCCCAAAAGACCTCAAAATGCTTGGAAATTTTGGAAGAACAGTGTCCAATTCTTTAGAAGTCAGCACACGGCAGGTCTGTAACAGGGGCAATAAGTCATCCAACCAACCAAAATTTATTAAAAAGAAAACTTTGCATAAAAAATTAAAAAAAAAAAAACTTACTCATGAATCTATTCAATACTCATGTGTGAAAATGGGTCGTTCGAAATTGAGAGGAAAAAAAAAAAAACAGCAGACAGAAAAAAGTGAATTGTTTTAGCGTTTAGCAAGGAAGGAGAGTAGAAAAGTCTTCTTTCCGTGATGCTTACGATGGATAGAGTCATCCATGTCAAGGTGGTCTCCAATACGAATTTTCGGAATCATTAAATACATTATCTTTACATCTTTTGTATTTTTAGTATGAAATGAATGAACCGCATTAGTGGTTTGCTGCGGATCTTTGGAATATCCAAAAATATTGAATCTTTTTCCTACAATAGTGAGTAGGTATGGTAATTTCTCATTATATCATATTTTATAATATATATAATTTCAGATACAATATAAATGATTTTAATATAATATAATATAAATATTTAAATAATACAAATCATTTAAATATTAATATAATATATTTATTATATATATTACACGTGATATAATATGATTAATATATTTAAAATTAATTTATATATAAATATCATGATATGATAAAATATGATTAATATGATTATATACAAATAAAATAATAAAATATAATTAATTATCCAAATAACACAACATAATTAGCATGATAATATACAAATAATACGATTAGACACAATTAATTTTTTTATTTAAACAAAAAATATCATTTAAATTAATACTTAAATAAAAATTTATTTAAAAATTAAATATTTATAATCTATTTAAATATCAAAATAATATGATAAATATAATTAGTAATTTATTTTTTAAATAAATTAAAATAATTTTTAAAATTTTTTATATTATAAATGGTATAATATCTTAAATATATTATTATTATTTGATATAAATATGACACAAATGATATCGTATCTTAATCATGTTGACACAATTAAAATATAAAACATGATTATATAAATTCATATATAATTTTTTATGTCATTTTTATATTATATTATTGTAATATATTTAAAATTGTAAAATCTATTGATGAGGTCAACACTATAAAAGTATAAACTTTGATCATGAATATTTTGTATTTCAACACTTCTAGATTTATATTTTGAATAGATGGAGTCCTCTATTATTGACTTGTCTGACTCTCAACATTTTCAGTAGTGCTGGGTCATGAGGATTAAAAGAGTCAATCACGGAGCAACAATTTTTTTTTAGCAGACAGAACATATCATTTGTTGAAATGTAGAGTCATTCATATTTTTGTTAATAATATTCTATTTTGGGTTCAAAGAATTTGGGATAAAGAAGTTGTTTAGTTGGGAACAAAAAAAAATGGTGTGAAGTTTTATAAAAGTTACTTTTAAAATTACAATAATTTTTTAAATTAAATATTTAAAAACTATAAATTTAAAAGAGTTTATGCCTATAATTTTTTTAATCAAATAAATAATAAAATAAAAAATTTTAAGATAAATTAAAAATTAAAAAAATAAAACAAAAAAAAAAGGGTAGCAATTGTCTCCATCTTATTACAACCTTAACTATTCAGTTGAGTTTAGTCACTACCTCATTAGTTCTTATACTATAATTTTTGTGTCTTAAACGTTGCAATTAAGGTGATGTTTTGTTTAAATTGGGTTAGCATATTAACCGTTTGCTGTAAGTTGTAAATGATCAATCATGGCAAACATAAACGTAGGAATGTTAGTTATCCACCTACGTTAGTGAGATGAGAGTCGGAAGAAATTGTTCAGTTCCGTATTATACCAGTTGTGAACTGTCTGGAGGTGAATGAAAAGACCATTATTCTATTCAAAGCATGTGATTGTAAGAAATTTAATTGGATTTTTATTTATTACATATGAATTACATTTTATGATTGAATGTTTATTTATAAATGACATAATTACACAATCAGAGAAATTCCCACCATGTTATCCAAACAACTTTTAAATTGCATTTGGATGATAAATTTTAAAAAAATTCATTTGTAAAGAGACTTTAAAATTCTAAAATGAAATTACCTTATTTGTTAAAATTCTTGAATTTGAATGAAGAGTGTTTGGAGCACTTAAAACTTTCTTTTCAACTTATGTCTAAGAAGGTGGAATTTGTGAAATTTTTTGATTTGATGATAAAGAGTCAAAATTTATTATATTTTCTTGTTCACGCAGCTTTTTTTTATTTTAATTATAAAAACTCATTATAAAATTTATTTTTTTATTTTTTATATTATTAGTAATATCTACACATTATTACAAATTTAATGACACCCCTATTACAAATATTTTTTAAATATTTTTCCTTCCCCATCTTTAATATCATTATTTATTTATTATAATATTTTATACTATCAAATTCAAATATTTTAAATTTTTTTAAAAAAATAATTATCCAAACAATGCAATTACAAATTCTATTATTTTGATTTGATGTATTTTAAAATGCTAATATTTTAAAATTCTTCAAAATTTTAAAATTTTCTATTCAAACACATTTTTAATCTAGCTAAACAATAATGACATATTAAGTCTTATATTTCTTACTCTTGGATCAGCTGTATGAAAATTCAAATAAGAGAATCAAGTTAGATTGTAGTTTGAATTTTCTTACGTCACTCATTTTTATCAACAATCAATTTTTCATTTAATTTTTTAACCATCATATCATTTTTTATTACTTGTATCCATATCTTTTGTGATTTACCTCTGGATGTTTTTAATATATCATAGATCTATAAATTCAATTCTTCTAACAGGTGCACAACTAGGTCTATATTTCACATTTCAAAACCATCTCAAACGATTCTCTCTCATTTTTTCTTCAATTCGGACTATTAATAATTTTTTTCGAATCTCTTCATTTCTAATTTTGTCTCTTCTAATTTTATCACATATCCATCTAAATATACTCATATTCGTTACTCGTTATGTTCATTTTCTTCTCATGTTGTTTCTTAACACTCTAACACTCAATTTTATATAATAATGTAAGCCTTACAGTTATTTTATACAATTTCACTTTTAAGTTTAGAGACATGTTGCAATCACACAATACACCTAACACACTTCACCACTTCGGCCATTTTGCTTGAATCCTATGTTTGACATTTGTTTCTATCTCAGTATCACTTTGAATAATTGATCTCAAATATTAAAACTAATTACTTTTTGGTACTCCTTCACTATCCAACTTAATCACATTAGTACCCATTTTCTTATTACTATTAAACTTACATTCCATATTTTCAGTTTTAAATATACTCAATTTAAAACCTCAATACTTCAATGTACTCCTTTATAATTCTGATTTCATATTAAGGCATCATAAGTTTTAGCAACTAAGATTACATTAGCAAATAACATACATCATAACATCTTATCTTAGATACGTCCAATGAGCTTGTCCATAAATAATGTAAAAAGGAAAAGACTTAGTGTTGAACCTTGATGTAATCCTAAGGTAATATGGAAACTACCTGTCATGCCTTAAATCGTCCTTACATTCGTTACCACTCCTTCATACATTATGTTGATGTACTTTAAAGGAACACGTTTTTTCATTAAGGCTTACTAAAACACTTTTTAATGAACTATATTATATATTTTCTCCAAGTGGATAAATATCATACATAGACATTTTTTTCTTACCAAAAACCTTTATAATAAAAGTCTCAAAAGGTGAATTACCTCTATTATAGAGCATCTTAGTATAGACCCAAATTGGTTTTCAAAAATAGTGACCTAATGTCGCAAGCTATATTCAATTACTCTCTCTTAAAGTTTTATAGATGACTCATAAGTTTTATTCCTCGATAATTCAAATAATCTTGTACATCACCTTTATTATTGTATAAAGGCACAAAAGTGCTCTTCCTCCATTCTTTTGGTATATTTTTGGTACGTTAAATTTTGTTGAAAAGATTTGTCAACCATCTTATACCTATTTTATCTAAGCATTTTCAAACTTCAAGAGAAATTATATTCGGTCCTATAGCTTTCTTTAATCTTATTATTCTCAATGACTCTTTAACCTCATAACTTTTAATGTTACACTTAAACACATAATTTACATCCCAAAAAGGTATATTCAACTCATTATATCATGCTCAAAATTGCTATTAAAGATATTATCAAAATAATCTTTCAATCCCTTTTTAATTTTCTCGTCATTCACTAAAACTCTTTTGTCTTTGCTTTTAATGCATTTAACGTCATTAAGATCTTTGCTCTTTTTATCCCTTATCTTAGTAATTTTGAACAGTTCTTTTTCTCTAACGTTTGTCTCTAGTTTTTTTATATAACTCATCATGGATCATACTTTTTGAGTCTTGAATAGCTTTTCTAGTTTTTTTGTTTTTCTATCTTATATTTTCGATAACTCTCTTCATTCTTATTGCTTCATAATTTGTTATAACACTTTTGTTTAGTTTTAATTACCTTTTTCACATTTTTGTTCCACCACCAATATTCATTTCCTAACGGTGCCTTACCCCTAGATTCCCCAAATGTCTATTTAGTAACTCTTTGAATTTCAATTGTAATATTTTTTCACATTACTTTTACATTCTCATAAAGTTTCTAATCAATTTCTTTTACTAATTTATCCTTAAACGTTGCCATTTTGTCCTTCTTCAAGTTTCACCACTTAATATGTGGTTCATGACTTTGATGTCTCTTCTTTGATCCCTTAAGGTGGAATAGATCGAGTATTAATAGTCTATGTTGCGTGGCCATACTCTTATATGGTATAACCTTACAATCTTTACAACTATTTCTATCATCTTTTCCTGTAAAATAAAAATTAATTTAACTAGTATTTGATCCACTCCTAAATGTCATCAAGTGTGATTCTTTTTTCCTAAAACAAGTATTTAATATCATTAGGTCAAATGTAGTAGCAAACTCTATAATAGTTTTTCTGATTTTGTTTCTTTCTCCAAAGCCATATCCTCTATATACTATTTTAAAATCATTACCATCCTTGCTTGCGTAACCATTCATGTCTCATCAAATAAATAATTTTTTTGTATGGTATGGCTTGTACTGTCTTATCTAAATTTTTTAAAAATTTTTGTTTACTCTTTTGATCCAAACCTATTTACAGGGTGTAAGCACTAATGACGTTAACCGTTTTTTTTTTCTAAAATAAGTTTAATAAGTAAAGTTTTATATCTTTTTCTTTTAACCTTAACTACATCATCCTTAGATTATTATCAATAATTATCTCCACTTCATCTTTATTCCTCTATTTTATTGTGTACAAAAACTTAAAGCCTCATGTTTCTATCTCTCTATCATTTTCCTTTACCCACTTAATTTCTTATATACACATAATATTAATTTCTTTTCTAGTCATTGTATCTTCTATCTCTATAAAACTTACTAGTTAATGATTCTATATTTCAAGTAGTTAAGTATAGCTTATCCCTATGGAGTAGCTTTTTTTATTTGTCTACCCTTTTAGTTTCTTATAGACACATAATATTAATTTATCTCATAGTCATTACATCTCTTATATCTATAAACTTACCGATTAATGATACTATATTCCAAGTAGCTACGTATAATTTATCCTAATAGACTAACTTTTTTATTCGTGCTCGTTCACCAAAACATAAGAACCCTTACCTATTTATCATTGTACTTGGATGACGTTGTGATGCGTCACTTATTGATGATGATCTAACAATCTTTGCATATTTAACATTACATTTGAGCTTCGATATAACGTGTCATTAAGAGGTAATAATCCAACAAAAATTTTTATTTTGATCTTTCATCATAGTTTGATTACGTTCTATACTAACCATCAACCTATCATAATCCATTTGTTTTATCTAGGTTTGAGATGGACATTATGATATCACATAAGTGAATTTTACTCAGGCTAAAGAAAAATAAGTGAATTTTACTCAGGCTAAAGAAAAATGTAAAATGAAAGAGTAAAAAATTAGAAAAATCTTGTACAATTTGGACAATGTTTACTTAATAAGTACCAACGATTTGTCTTTTTCTTCATATCATCACCAAAAGTAATTCATAAAAGTCAAACGTGAACTGCTGAGTGAAAAAAAGTTTAATTTGAATTATAACTTTAAATATTAAAATGTCTACAAAAGTAAATTAAAAGGAAATTATTTAAAAATAAAAATACTTTATACATAAATAAATAAATATAAATAGTACAACACCAGTACTTGGGTGTTGGGATTTTGATGCATCGCCAACTTAAGTATGAAATCAGCGTTTCGAAACGCCTATTATTTGACGCTCTCTCGCTTCTCCTTAAACCCTAACGCCTCTATTCTTCATCTTGTTCCCGCCGTTTCCACTTTTAGTTCACCTCCTTCAAGCGTTTTCAAAAACCTTTCCTTCCGTTCCCCTCTCACCGCTACTCTCTCTTCCGCTTCCATGGTCGGCGGTGACTCCGACGCGCCGCAATCCTCTCCTTCTCTGGAGAAGCAGTTCGAGAAGTTCCGAGTCGAGCTAGAAGACTCTGGAATCTTACGTGAACGCATACGCGCGGTCGTCTTGGAAATCGAGTCGGCCACTCGACTCATGCAAGCTAGCCTCCTCCTCGTTCACCAATCTAAACCAATTCCCGGTACAATTTCTTCTTTCCTTTTCTTTTTTTGTCTCTAATTTATTTGATTTTTGAAATATAACCTAAAAATGTTGGTTTTTTTTTTTTTTGTATTTATATAAAGAGGTTTTAGAGAAGGCAAAGGCTCGGATTAATGTTTTAAAGGATCTATATAATAAACTTGCTGAAGTTGTTAGGGAATGCCCTGGACAATATTATAGGTGAGATTGAATTTAAGATTTTAATTATTTTAATTATTAATTTATATAGAATTTTTTGTGATTTTTTTTCTTTTTGTGGTGTTTGGCGTGTATAGATATCATGGGGATTGGAGGAGTGAAACTCAAATGATAGTTTCTTTGCTTGCTTTTATGCATTGGCTGGAAACAGGAACTCTGCTTATGCATACTGAAGCTGAGGAAAAACTTGGATGTATGTTTCAATAATGAGCATTTTTTTTCAAGTTTTTTATTTGTCTTTGCCAATGACTTCAATTGAGAAAATTGATTGTATTGGCAGTGAACAATTCGGATTTTGGTTTAGATGTGGAGGACTATCTTATTGGTAAGTTTTATACTTTGCTTATGTGTTGAAGAAGATTTTGTTGGGTTTTATTACCTAATTGTAGTGTTTGGTGTCTACTACATATTTTGATCTTATAAAACTTCAGTTTTATTTGAGTCGCCCGAAATATTCTAGTTATTTTAATAGATAGTTAATATTGTTAATCTCATAAATAGTTGGATGGAATTCCTCTGACATTGTAATGCCTTTTACTCTTTTTCTTTGTTAAAAATGTAGGGCCAAGTTAAAATTAAACTTCATTTTTCCATATTTTGGTTAATTTTTTCTTATTGAAGTGAAGATCTTCTTGTTATACAGATTGATAATTGTATTGAGATATTTTGAAGGTATTAAAGTTAGACTTTTATGTTGGTCCATATGTGAATTAAATGAAGCATTGTTGATTGTTATTGTTGTCTGATTACTGTTATTCTTCAGTGTTTGTGTTTTTTTGTTCAAGAAGCAGGACATGACTGTTAATTAGTATCTGAATATGGAGGTTTGTTATGGTCCCAATTGAGTATACTGATATGGGAACTTTTTCTTATCATGCAGGTATTTGTTTCATGTCAAATGAAATGGTAAGAATTATGTCAGAAGCATTGCTGTCACTTGCTTTTACAATTGGAAAATGCATTATTTTCCTACTCTATTCTTCACAAATGTTTTAGTCAGATTTTAAAAGAAACTACAGTTTACTGAAACCTTGTGAGAATGTGATCATTCAGAATGAAACATTAGGGAAATTGAACCAGTAGTTGAATGCACCCTATGTATGATAGTTACCGCTAGCTTTTAAAGTAATTGGAAATTGTAGAAATCAGTTTCTTTTTTTTTTTTTTGGTTTCACAGCCAAGATATGTGGTGAACCAAGTGACAGCTGGGGACTATGATTGCCCAAGAAAGGTGTTGACGTTCTTGACAGATCTCAATGCAGCCTTCCGGATGCTTAATCTCCGAAATGATTTCCTGCGCAAGAAGTTTGATAGTAAAGCTTAATCCTTCTTATCCTGTGCTTTGCGAATAGGAAGCATTTCACCTACAATCATTATAGTACAATTAATGAATCACAATTCAGAATTGTGAGGAGTCTGTCAAATTTTATTGGAGCTTACATTTATAAATGAACTCTTACATAATTCTTTTTTGTGATTGGACAAGTGTAAGATTGTGGTAAAAAAAAGGATAATGTCTTCTCTGACCCTTAAATTATAGTGAAATGTTCAATGTGGTATTTGAATTTTAAAAAGCTGTAATGTGATGCCTAGATTGAGTCTTTTAAATAATATGGTACTTGGAGAGTTATTTGTCCGTCATGTGTCATTATTTGAAACTAGTCTTGTTAAGGGTGAGTATCACTTTAGTTAATAAATTCATAATTTGAGTATTATATTAAAGATTTTTAAAGTCTATGTATTACATTAAACATTTCACTATAGTTTAAGGACTATTCATAACAATAATCCTAAAAAAGTAGTAGTTAATATCCTTCCTTGCGAATTTGGTGTTTTAAGCAACTTCTTGTCATAGATTGAGTTCTTGGAATGCTTTCTCACTATTGCAGGTATGAAGTATGACCTAAGAAGGGTTGAAGAGGTCTATTATGATGTTAAGATTCGAGGCTTGGCGACCAGTGGGGATTCAGTAGGCGATCAAGGAACCCAAGGGCAATCATAGGTTGCAAAAGTGGTATATACAACTATTAACCCGTCCGACTTTCTTGACTGCTTGGAATTCAGTTACTTTTGATCTTCTTTGTGGTCTGCAATGCCTGAGAGAGTTGGTGGTCCTTTGCTGCATGGTTTAAAGCCAAAATTTTGCTACCTAAACAAAGGGAAGAGGGTTAAATAGTTGTCATGAGAGTATACTTGACAATCCTAATCCTTTCCAATTTGTCTACTCTATCGATTGCTTAAGTTAGTCTTTTCTGGTATTCCATCAAATTAGTTGCTTCTGCCATTACTTCTTTTTTAGGACAATGTCTTTGTGGCCTTCCCTGCCATTCATGGTTAAGCTTGGTATCAGGTTCTGCATGGTTTTATTTACGCATATAATATTTGTACCCGACTGTCACACGAATCCATGATAATGCATGAAAATCCAAAGTATGGTGGGTTAGCTGGTGCTTATAAACATTAGTTAAGAATAGATTAAACACTATTTAAACAAAAAAATCTCGCATTTAATGCACGATTTTCATCAAATTCAAGAAGAGATTTTATGGTGTGTCGAAAATATATTTTGCTTATTAATTATCAATGTTTTTCGTCAATTACTATGAACTGATGATCATTGGCAATCAACAATGATTAGCCATATGATTAGATGACCATTAACAATGATCACGATTAACACTTGATAGTGATTCTCAGTGATTAAGATGATATTTTCGTTGGATGGTGAGTACCAATATTTCGCTATGTTTTTAGGATGTGTTTGGATGAAAAATTTTAAATTTTGAAGAATTTGTAATTAACATTTTAAAATGTATCAATTTAAAATAACAGAATTTATAATTATATTTTTTGGATAATTATTTTTTAAAAGGAAATTTTAATTATTGAAATTTGATGAGATAAAAAATAATTATAATAGATAAATAATTATATTAGAGATAGAAAATCACAATACTAAAAAATATATATGTAATATAGGTTTCTTAGATTTGTAAAAATGTGTAGATATTATTAATAATAAAAAAAATTAAAAAATAAAGTTTAAAGCTAGTTTTTTAGTTAAAATTGAAAAAAAAAATTTATTTCTTACTATACAATTAAGAGATTTCACAAATTTCACATTGGGGTTTGAAAAGAGAGTTTGAATCATTCAAAAATTTTCATTCAAATTGTAAAAGTATTGATAATTTTAATTTTGATAAGATTAAATAAAATAATTTTATTTTAAAATTTTTAAAAATTTTCTTCGAATGAAATCACTACTCGAAATTCTTCGTAAAAAATTTAAAGTTTAACGTTCCAAATGCATGAAAGACAGGTTGGAAATGTTTCCCAAACCAATTTGACAAAAAAACTTTAAAAAGAAAGAATTGCCAATAATGTTTGTAAACAAATGTCCAAAATGTGGACCTTAGGTTCCCTTGAATTGGGTCCACAACCTCCAAAGGCCTAAAGTCGAGCTATTGAGTGGCTACTGGTGGCTTAAATCCAAACACACACCTATCTATATTCTATGGGCCGACCCTACCCACTTCTTACCTATCCGAAACCACAACCAATCACACCCATCTGCCGCATTTACTCGCTTCCAAACACGCCCTTATACATCTAACGGCCATTACATCACCGTCATCCATAAATCCTACGTGGAAAATAAAAAAAGCAAACATAACATATAATTATATTTTTAATTAATTTTAATATCCTGTCGATTTTTATATTTTATACATTTTTATTAATGAATATTAAATTTTAAAATAAATATATAAAAATTTAATTTTTTAAAAAATATTTATTTATTTATAAAATAATATAATTTAATTTACCCCATAATAAAATAATTTCATTCAATTTACTAACAATAAATAAAATTTATACATTAAAAATATATTAATATAAAATATTTTTTTAATTTTTACTTGTCTTAAACTCTTAAGTCACAGACAAGCTAGCCGCGGACATGACAGTCACGTTATATTACCACTTTGACGAAAAAAAATCCTCAAAGAAAAATAAAATAAAATAAAATTTGTAGTAATATAAAATCCGTTTCGATTCCGTCTAATAAAAAAAAAAAAGGAAGCCTCCATTCCTCTCTATTGCACTTCGTCTCCTGTCGCTTTTTGGCGGTTTTGAGCTTTTCCCTTGCCTTCCGGACATTAGCTTAATTTTTATTTAACACGCGCGCGCGCACCACACACACACACACACACACACACTCTCTCTCTCTCTCTCTCTCTCTCTTGAAAGTCAGATATTTTTTCTTTTTAATTTAGATTTTATATCTGTTTTTATAGATTTTATCAGATCTTTATTTTTTTTTATAAATTTTAAAGGTTTTTGTTCTGAGCTGGAAATTAAGTAGATCGGAGAGTGATAAGTGGTTGGCGTTTGGTTTACGGATGAATGAGGTATGCTTAGTTTTTGATTTGTTTTATGCTTGAACGGCTTGTGTTTTTAGTGTCTGTTTGGTTTGTGAGAAAACACCGGGAAAAGGAAAAATGGAAAAGAAAAATCGTTGTTTTTTTTTGTCTTGTCTGATTTCTTATGTTTTATTAAATTGGATATACTTCTCCGAATTTTTTTTCCTCTTTTTCTTCCTTAGATTAGAAAAAGAAAATTTTAGCTGAACCAAACAGTTAAGACTGCTAGAGTAGGCCCACTTCACTGTAAATATATTTTTTATTTCTCTAAGAAATTTTAAGTATAAAATTGCGAAATTAATTCTTTTTTTTTTTTAATAAAATTATACTTGCAGTTCATCAGAAAAAAGAAAAACTTTTTTTAAATGTTAAATCCTAGTTGAAATTCATAGACTTGAATTTTGTCCTTTTCATCTTTTTGTATTAAAATGAAAGTCCTTTTTTTTCCTCGTATTTTTCGTTGAAAATTTCTGTATGGATGCGTGCTTGAAAAACGTTGAGCAAATGTTTCTTAAAATCTAAAATGGGTTTTGTTTCGTTATGTTTTAAAGTTGCCTTATTGATCACTTCGTAGTTTTTTTTTCCCCTATATTTTCGTTTGGCATTGAAAGGTGGAAAGAATTATGAGCTTATTGTATTATAGAGCTAAATGGCTAAGGTAAAATGTGAGGACAAGACGCCAGAAATACAAGAATGATGAAAGAATGTTAAGAGAACATGAAGAAGAACTTCAGATACTTTTGTTATCGGGTACTCTATGCTTGAGGCCAACTTTGACAACCCCTTCCCCCCCCCCCCCCCCAAAAAAAAAAAAAAAAAAAAAAAGGAAGTAAAAGGCATCGTCCTTGAGTTTATTAGTTGTAAATTTGTAACATGGCTAGAATCTGCAATGTCTTGTATATATTTTGTTGTGCTCTTAGTCTCTTGAAAAGTTATAAATTTGGATGAAGGTGAGAATATAAGTTCAATTTGTCAATTTTCTATGCTGATGATCACGGCCAAAAGTGTTTATTTCTTTATTTAAAATTCCTCCACTGGGTTAATTAACGGAATTACAAATATTTGTTTGCCTGGGTGTATTAAGCCAACCATTTTCTGACGTCCAAAAGACGGTAGTTTTATAAATTTCTATACATTTGATTGTAGGGAAAAACTGGACACATGAAGCTGGTCTGGAATTGTAGTACAAGTTAAGGTTATAAAATGAAAATGGATAGGAAACCGCATTTGATAAAAAAGCTTGCTGACGTGAAACGTCAAAGGGTAAGAAACTTTTCTTTAATCTTTTTAATTGTGGATTTACCGTTCTCTTCAATATTTAAAATTCTTATGCATACCATGACTTATCCTTAGGTTTTGCAAATTTCAGCGCAATGCAATGCATATATGTTGTTTATTGAATTATGAAATTTGACCTAGTAAATTTTGGGAGTAACTGCAAATCATAGGAGGTCAATGATATGTGAATCGAATTAATGGATATGAATAGTTATAAACCTCATTCATAATAATTATCTTTCTTTTTTTCTTGTTTTTGTGTTGGTCCCCTTCTATCTCTTTTAAGTTGAGCCTACCTGCGATACCTTCTCAAAATAAAAATCAATGTTCAATTAATTCACTTTTTATGTTTCTCTGTTTGCCAGCCTTTTTTCATTGATGCTTAGTCACCTTTACAGTCTTGGCTGCCCCTCCACAACCTTGGTTGTGGCATTCTCCTTAAATAAGCATGTAAATTTGATAAATCCCACGTTGCTCCCCTCACCCTTCTTCCCTTTCTTTTGTTCTCTGGATGTAGGTGGATGAATCCATTGTTCCTGGCTCGGAAGAAGCAACTGAGGTTGAGCATTTACTTGTGGAACCTAAAAGTGAGCATGTTTCAGTAGATGGAGTCCTATGTTTTGGGAAGGAGAATATAGAAAAGCACTTGAAAATGGAGGACTTCTCTTGTGCTTTTGATTATGGCTGGAAAATTAGTTGTGGTAATACTCTAACAGCTTGTCACTATAATTTTTACTGATGCTCTCATTTCAAAAATTAAAAGGAAAAAGAAATGACCTTTGAAGTGCTTCTAATTTGTGAATGATAGCATGCAGAAGCATCTAGAGTGTTTGATAAGTATGGGTCAGTCTCATCCCTTTAAAAACAAAGTGCGTAGATATTTCAAGGAGAGGACAAATGAAAACAATATATTAGGAGCAACGAGCATGTATTCTAGATGTATGAACTTGCTAACATGCTTTTGTAGAATGATTTGAGCGTAAATTTTCTCTGTCCTTAGTTGGACATGCACAAGCAACATCTATTGTGCTTTAAACTGGTTAAAATAAGTGTTTCTGTTGATCTTGAGCTTTTTGCCTTGGAATCGTTTGAACTAATATGATCCTGCTTGGTATATTTCTTTATTTGTTTTTTTTTCCCATTAGTTGGTGTGAATAACTCTAAAGTTATCATAATTGTTTAAAGTCCAGAAAATTTGGAGTTGTACATAGATGCTGGGACAGGCTTGTACTAGATGTTCTAAGACTTGATTTCAAGTAATGAATTGTCATAATCATTCCAAGATTTGATGCTTATTTGTTGTTGACAAATGTTTCTCAAAATATTGCACGAAGGATGAGACAATGCAATAGTGGAAACTAGACAACAACATTACAATTCTCTTGTTGAACACAAAAATGCTTTTGTTCAGATTTTTATTTACGATTTCCATAGTTATTCTTCTGATGCTTTTATATCTTTTGTGATTCTTGATAAGGTGGGCTGGATTCTATCCATGGTCTAGGAGGAGATGATTTGAAGCTTGAAGTATGTATTCCTTATTCTTGAGGCTTCATATCACTTCCAAGTCATTGTTTGATGCATTAGTTTCTTTAATTTTTCTGTCTTATGCTTTATATGTGTTTGTTATTGATTTCCCATTTATTTTTTTGTTTATGGTTTTGTGTTTACTATATGTGAACACGCATAAGTGCCATGGTGATATCTGATGAAATACTGCTTTAGTAGGTTCTTGATGGATTGCTGGATGAAGTTGATGAAGTGGATGATATTCATGCAGCACATGATCTCTCCGGTGCATGTGAAGATTTTCTTTTGGGTGAGTGTTGTCTGTGCTTTTATTAATTGTCTCCAGTTGTGTTCTATAACACATGATGCTCATATGTTATGTTTCCTCTTCTTTTTTTTTCTCTGTTTTCCTTTTGAGTGCAGATATTGAATTTCCAGAAAAGTTTTCTGAATTGGATTGTGGTCCTCAGGAAGGATCGAATTTGCATAACTCAAGTTCAGAAAGTCATTCACCTGGATTTAGTGGAAGTAGTAATAGTGCAGGTGGCATATCAGAATTATCAATTGCAACCATTCAAGAATCCAACAGCAACAATGGTGTGCTTGGAAAGATGGTCAGTTGTGATTTACATCATACCTTTAGGAGCAGATGTGGGTGTCAGGCTCCGGTTATGGACACCATTCGTCCTACTATAAAACATGTGCAAGATGTTGTTGAGTCTGATGATGATGAAAAACCTTTAATAAATTATATATTGTCTAATAAGAAAGTAAAATGCTCTGTTAAAGTATCAAAAGGTGGCACTCTTCTCAGACAGAAGAGATTGCGGAAGCCTACTAGGAGGTATATTGAGGAATTTTCTAGAAATTCTACTTCTGCAAAGAATAAGCGCTTTAAAGTCAGATCAGAAGAAGAACATCCTCAAGTGCCATCTGAATCCCGGCAACGGAGAGGACGCCCCAAGAAAATTATGCCGAAACCGGTAGGAGAAGTTCCATTCCCGCACCGGTTATTATATTCTCTTAGATTGGCCATCTAGAAATAGTTTCCTCTTACCTCCCAGCCTCTCTCTCTCTCTCTTCAGTAGCTTTTTTATGTTTCTATTCATCATTTTCATTTATTTAGATATTGGCCTTGAATACTCTGTGGCTGCCATGACAACCGGAAAAACTCATGAGTAATGAGGAAAAAAACAAATATATTGATAAATGCTAGCTGCAGATTGGTGATATTTGCCAAAAATTCATATAAAAATATTAGGCACAAGGAAATGGTTATTTCATATTCCCCTCTGTTTGCTGGTAACACATTTTTGTTGACATCCTGCCAGGTTTTTTTTTTTTTTAAATTTTTTTTGGCTGCATTTTGGTATAGAAATTAATTTTGGCATCATATCTGTACTGATACTTGCCCTGTATGGAACTTTTGCGTGGACTATATTATGATGTGAGGTTTCTTATATGAAAACTTTGAGCGAGAATACCGAAGACAAGTGACTATCAAGGATGTGATACTTTTTTTCTCGCTTGCTTGTGTAGATAGCATTCTTGTTCCCTTTTTCTTTGTGCCGTTGGGAAGTAGCGAACCCTACAACTTACTTAAGCATGATAAAGTTAAAATTTTAAGATCATTTTTTTCGTTTTCTTTCCAGGAGCTTGAATCTGATTGTGAGCTTTCTGCATCTGAATCCGAAGATGAGTGCAAGGGAACCAAAAAATCCAAAACGGCTTGTGATAGGAGGAAGCATCAAAGGATGTGGACCCTTGAAGAGGTGATTAAGTTGGTTGATGGAATTGCTGAGTATGGTGTTGGAAGATGGACTGATATAAAAAGGCTTCTATTTGCATCATCTGCTTATCGAACACCTGTTGATCTGAGGGTACCTTACTGCTTTATCCGGTCATATGGTTTCCTCCTGTTTTAAAACTTGAATTAATTTTAAATATGGATGCTCTCTACAGGACAAATGGCGAAATCTTCTAAGATCTAGCTCTGCACATAAACACAACAGGAGAGAGGTTAGCTTTCTATTTTTCTTTTTCCTTTGTCATTTGCACTTTCATTTGCTTCCAGCTGAATAGCATGGTATTCTTTAGTTCAATTGTTTGTATCTCTAAATTATTCTCTATTTGTTTAATTTCTTTTCCCTTGGTTGCAATTATCTCTTTAAATTATTGAGAGAATGGAATTGGAATTGCAAATGCTTGGGAGTCCTTGTATTTATATCAAGGGGGCTAACGGCTGGCTACCGATCATGGATTCTTAAGGATGCAAATTATTGTTTCAAGTAACATTGGGACAAATATTTGCTTTTGGTGTTCTGCATGTAAAATCATGTAACCAGCAATTATCATAGCATGTTCATTAAGAGTGGTTTATATTGTATCTTATTGTATAATCATTATTTTAAATGTTAGTTGCAGGTTGAGACTAATTTGAAGCATGCTGTACGTTCCCTACCAAAACCTGTGGTATGCCGCATCCGTGAACTGGCGACCATTCATCCATATCCAAAGGTCCGCGGGCCGAAAATTTCATCTGTTGATTATGTTCCTTCATCCAAACAATCTACAACAACTAAAGGTGCTCCAGTTTACTCTCATGGAAGAAATCTACGTAGGAAGAAGTGTAGTTGAAGAAGCATTTCTGTAATTGGCAGTGAAGCAAACTGCAATTCAAGTTTAGTTGTAAAGAAGCTGTGTTCTTCCCTACAGTCCCCTTAACACCTGCCATGATCTGCACATATAAATGTTTCCGGATTGTTAGGAATATCTGGTAAATTTTACCCAAGTGAAAACAAGTTTTACAATTTTAGTAGCCAGGCGGAATATGGCTAACTGATGTTTAAAGAGTAGGTTTTCCTTCCATATTGTTGCCTGGCGGTTGCTTATCCAACTTGCCTATAATTAAGGCAAGCTAAGTCTTGGGCCTTGGCCAGAGTCAGAGAGTGCTTGGAGGAGTATGTGGTGTAAGAATTAAAGAGGATTCCTTCAGCCCTCCCTGTGGAACTGTGATGTTGCTATTCTAGTACTAGTAGGGGAAAAGAAAGGTGGCTGCCCCAACTCCCGAGCTCCTCTCCGAGAGGAAAAGGCTTGAATGAGTCTCGGGGTTGGTCAGAACAAATCTACACTTTGTTCTTCCGTTGTGTGATGCAGAGTCTTCAGTTTAGCATGAAACTCGAAAAACTCAGGTGTCTGCCAGTGCACCAGGAGCAGTTACAATAGCACAGAAACTCCCCTCTTAATTAACAAACAAAAGTACGAAAAAAAAAAAAAAATTCATATCTCTTACCGGCACCTACAGATTTTATCAAGACAAGTTGTTATAGAACAGAAACTGTGGCATATATCACATATATCAGAGAAAATACAATATTCACACCATGTATAGCAGCACTTGGTTTTGGTAGTTCTATTTTTATCCATTTCCTTCGTCACCGTTATCTCCATTGTCCGGAGAATCGTTACCCCAATTATCGAATTTTTGTCTTGGAATGTTGTGGTGGTTGTCCATGTTTCTCTCCGAGCTATCCTCAACTGTGTTCCTCCTTCCTTCAATAGCTTTCCCTTTCCCGATACGGTGCGGTTGCTCTTGCCCGTGTATTCCACCGATCATGGCTCTCCTTGGCCCTGCCAGGCAACTTGAACTCACCATCATCACAACCAGAAACAGCACCAAAAGCTTCATGCTGCACAAACTTAGTTCATGCCCATACAAAAGGAATCAATAAGCTGGTTAGCTAGGAGTTCGGTTAAATTTAGGTGCATTTTATAGAGAGATCAGCCAATGTTGACACGAGTGAAATAAAAAATGAAGAATGGGGCCACCACCCATAAAGAAAGGAGATTGAGTGGCATTTACATATGGTTTTTGGAACCATTCTAGAATGATAGTTGAGAGAAAAATTTTGGCTGTATTAAGCAGCCTTAATAGGGAAGTTCCACCTTTTAAGTGGAAACATAATGGCCACAGACAAAGTCAATGAATCATAATTTTTTTTTCATGTTTGAGTTGCTTCATGGTGTCAAATAATTGAGGCAAGCCTTGCATTTTTAATTCCTATGAGACAATCTTAATGCAAATCAAAGGGATGCTGATGAATTTCTTTATTCTTTTGGTTGTGCAAACTAACAAGAAGAACCATCTGTCCATGCACTTTGTGTCTTTGTGTAGTGCCACAAGGTCTCTGTTTTATTATCAAAGTTTTTTTTTTTTTTTTTTAATTTTTTGCACATCTCATGTATTAATGGCCAGAAACATCAAACATGTGTGAATTCATATGCTATGAGAACATGTGAAAGAGAGATTTGAGATTTGTATTGTCTAGTTCCATCATCGATCTTTAACATGATGATTGTCTGGTTGATTGGTTTGTGAAGCGCCTAACCAAAATAATCATTTTTTTTTCTTTTAAAAACAAGGAGATCAGTTTGTAAGATAAGTTTAAATGAAAATAACAGAACACAAAACTCCATCCCTATCCTGAGAAACATTCTGACAGGCATTGTTACTGTCCATCAGCACGAGTATCATTGTCAAAATCACCATAGGGTTCCACCTACCAGATCCAGAATCTCACATCACACTGATACAATCTGGCACAACTGAGAGAGAACAACCTAAATATCCTTCTACCAACTCTCAGCCATAGAATTTTAGTGGGCTGACGATTGAAAAATGTTGCAATGAAGCATTTCAGTAACCAGAAACTTCTATTTAAAGCAAGTGCTGACTGGTGTGGTGAGAAGTAATTTCTAGTATTCACACTAGCTAGGGATGCAATCGACGTTGGAGCCAAACCCATTTTTTTTAAGTGCCACTCCACTAAAATAGAACCGAACAATCACCTGTAAATAAAAATCTTCCTGCTCTATATATTTGGACCTAACCGAGCTGTGTCCAGGGAAAACTTTTAAAATCTGATCCCATCCCAAGTCTGCTGCCTAAGATTCTACAGAGCAGAAAGTGATAATGATGATGTTGGAGAAATATACAAATATGAACTTGGCCACTTGAATACTTGATTGTGTCATAACGCGCGAGCTACGACAAACAGTTGGTTAGGCTAGTTTCAAATTCATCATTCATAAGAAACAAAAAAGGAAATAAAAAAATATCCTCAAATAAAGTAGTAGGCTAGTAGCCCATCTTACTTTGACTTTAAGAAGTGAAGACACAGACTTGAGCTGCAACCTTCATATGTGTAGTCTAAACCATAACAGAAGTGTTTGGCCCAAAAAAACCAAAACCGAAGTGAAAGGCCTAAGAGGCTAAGACCCAAAAATTCTTCCAGCTCGAAAGTATAGATCAGTATTAAGTCGAGGACTTGGAGGAAACAACCACAAATGTATTGTAAACCTCTAAATCAAGAAAAGTATTAAAGAAAGTAAACAAATCCATCAAAAAGGGGAAACAAGGAAAGGGTGAAAAAAATCTTTCAACTTGTTGCTTCCCAATGGGAAGCATGGGAAGGAATTAATGGCAAGTGGGAGGAGCCATGAGAAGGCAGTTGAGGGGAAAATGGTTTACAGTGAGTACAATAATAGATCAAATAGAAGGGAAGGGGTGACAGCTAAGAGAAACAGGAGAATGCACGTGCAGGAAGCTAAAAAAAAAATTGAGAAGTCCAATCAAATCATTGGGAGTTTGGGGACACATGGTTCAGCCTTTGGGAGCCCCCAGCCGGGCTGAGGCATGACATGAGTGTGGTTTGATGTGTCACCAACTCTCTGTTGAAGCTGTTTGCTTTGCTTTGGTGTCACTCGAAACACTCTGGCACTGAGCCAGTGAGCCCTTTTTAAGGACTTTGGTTGGACTTGGGGATTGGTCGTGGTGGCCCGAACCTTTGTCACCAACTACAATCCTTCCCTACAATTTCAGAAAATGTTTCACCCTCCCTTCCTCTTCCTTCTCCAGAGTTAATATTGTAAATAGAAGAATACATGTATTTTATATTCAATCAAAACTTGTTCATTTCTATGAATCTTTTGCTTCCAAAAGATCAGAACGTCATTGAGATGATGAATAAGTTGGAACCAAACTCGAGCTCAGAGTCCCAATTGGTTTGCATCTTCTTAAATCAATTAGTGCAGTAATTAATCCCTAGTGAATTGTGATGAATAACAAATTAAGTTGGCAACGAAAAGGTTTTTTTTTTTTTTTTTTCATAAAAAAGCTGAAGAGAAATGGAGTCCACAATTGACAATCTAGAATTAATTAACTCCTTTTCCTTCTCTTTGTCAGTCTCTCTCTCCATGTCTGCAAAACTGTTGATAGCTCCACTCCAATGATGTGTACAAATGAGAGGCTCTTTTTTCCTTCAGACAACCCAGTGCAGCACGTTATTGTCTCCAGAGGATGCAATCATGTTTCTGAGAAAACTAAAGTTCAACAAATGAACCCAAAAAAGAAAGAAAGAAAAAAAAAAAAACAGTTTCCTCACTTGTCTTTGTCAGTCTAATGAGTAATGACCCATGTTTCTTTTTTTTTTTTTGCCAAAGTTTGGAATTCACTACCTTTTCAAGTTAACAGAATTTATTAAAATAAATCTTGAATGTATTAATATAGGGACATATTTTCATGCTAAAAAAGGCTATAAACTATTGGTTTGGTCGGTAAGATATGGAGCCAAACAAATGTAAATATGGATTGTTTCCAACTATCAACAGTTGGGAAGGAACGATCATTGTAAGATTCGATATGCTATTCCATTCTCTTTGTTTCTATTTTTTTTTTGTTTCCTCTGGCAAAGACTGCAACCTAAGTTGTTTCTCTCCATCCTAGTTTTGGAGTAAATAGCCCATTTCATGCATCATGCACGGACAAGGTGCAGAGATACACAAAAGCTTATCCCGAATCCAGCTGCAGAACAAAGCCAGCCAGCCAGCCAGCCAGCCAGCCAGAACCCAAAGCTTATTGACAATGGGTACGAAAATGTGCACAGTTTTTACTTCCAAACCCTCCAATCCAAGATCTAAGACCATTCCCACCTCTAAAGGAAACAACAAAAGCATGAAGTTTGCTGCATTCATCTAGAGAAAATTTGGACTGATTAGTGGTGTTAGTGGGGGGCCTAGCTCAGCCTATATCATTTTCACCAAATGAGATTTCCAGCCAAGCTCAACTCAGAGAAACAGAACAAATATGTAGTATAAAAAGGAGTTGGAATAGTTTATTATATACTCGGATTACAGTAAATGGATTTACGTGAACATGACTGAAATGGGGAGGATTAATAAAAGGTTTTCTTTTTCCCTCCCTTCCAGTCTGGCCAAACTTGTGTACAATATCCATTAATACTGCTACTGACATTTACATTTATATCAACAAAAATTAAGTGGGATCGCACTTTGCCCAAGCAGCTTATCCCATCCCTCTTTCATATCTTATCTTTTCCACTCCCAACTTGTGGGGTCTTAACTTCAAGAACTTCGAAAGATCATTGATCAAGCACCATCATCTCTCTCTCTCTCTCTCTCTCTCTCTCTCTCTCTCTCTCAACAGAGCAAGAGAGAGAGACACTTCCTGTCTGACCTTAGAAGCAATAATTTTGTATAGCTTTTATATCATGAGATGCATGTTCGTACACTTTCGTATAAAGACTCAAACGCTATGTATAAAGGAAAAAGAAGGGTACAGCAAAAGACAGCGCGGCAACCATCCCAATAGTCATACATTTGCGCTTAAGAAATATCATTACTAATGCTATAAATTTACCAAGACTTCGACTAAGCTCACCATCTCTTAGCTATCTGCCATGTCAGCCATTTAATGCTCCCTCCAAAGACGGTCTCTTTTGTCTATTCTACCGCTATATAACCCTTTCCTTCACGTCATCTGTTTCACCGTCCAAACCATACTTGATCTCCATTTCAGATTATATGCAACTTCATTTCCCACCATCTACTTTCTGTCTATGTTGGCATATTATTATTCATTTCTTTGGAAGACAATGAAGGGGAAGTTTCTAAAGGCATGCTTTACCAATTGGAGGAAGATGGGGAGTAGAGTCATACCTTGTGGCGGTTGCGAGTACTGTTGTCAGTGGGCAAAGTGGCCTAATTCCATGCATGAAGAGAGCTCAATTCCAAGAGATGTGCAAAGGATAACCTAGTAGTGTATGTTGGTGAAAACTATAAGAGATTTGTAATTAAAACCACCTGGCTCAAGCACCCACTTTTCGAGGCATTGCCGGATCAAGCTCAGGATGACTATGATTATGTCACTGACTCCAAACTCTGCACTCCTTGTGATGAAAGCCTCTTCCTCGATGTTGTTCGTTGTGCTAGCTCTCTGCAAGAACGAAGACTCTCCCAGTGTCTTTAGGAATTCATGCTGGAAATTTGATTGATTCTCGAGGTCCGAGTCCTCATGAGAATGCTAATATGTCGTATACTGAGTAAATTTTTGTAACATAAATTCTGTAGCCTATAAATGTAATTCAATAGAAAAATATTAACTTCTGTTTTCCCTTCTAAGTTCTGTTTCTAAGGACCTCAACCGCTCAAGGGATGTGAAAGCTACTGGGCCCGAGTAGAACCAGGTTAAACACACAATACATGCCAGATCAACACAGATCAACAAGCTGGAGCGGACGCTACCAGCTGACAGATCTGACAGTTTCCAGTTGGTCCAAAACTGCAGTTCCATTAGCTCTGGCCTTTACCTTATCTTTGAAACTTAAAACAATAATAACAGCTAATTAATTTATTGTACTATTAGTACTATCTCAGAGAAAATTGCTGTCACTGGAGATGCAAGTTCCTTAACTCTTCTCGAGCCCGTCTCAGGGCAGTCTCCCTGACATTTACCAGTAGTACTTAAAGCAGGCTACATACTAACAGACACACGAAAAAAGCAGGTTTAATCAAGAAGAATCAGACAGTCAAAGTGTTGCCAATACTATTAAAGCAGGATTCTTTGAGTTTTGCCTAGGTTTCCAATTTCAGGAACTAATGCTGCAAGAAGAATGAACAGAACTTTAAAGGTCAAGTGCATGAAATCAAATTATAACCAGATTGGCAAGCAGAATGCCAGAATGCATGAAGCTCAAATCTACATTAGCATGGGATATGCTCAAATGCGTGATGATAGATAGGTTATAAGTCAAAAGATGAAAATTTATGCTCCTCAGCTCTAGGAAACATTGAATGTAAGATCAGAAAGAATTTCTTCAGCTTAAGACCTCAAAAGTATATTTGATTGACACCGGGAAAACAAGGTTTAGCAACTTTTTTTCCATTTTTAAATTTTCACAAGTTCTCCCAACAACACCATAAAAAGCAAAAGAAACTATTCAAGCAATACTTCAAGGTCGCATGATGCTACAAATAGGCAAACTAAGAGCCAACAAACAATTCGGGGTATAACATAACAACTGCACTTATGAGCAGCATCGTGCACATTTTCATAGATTTCACATATCAAATGACACTAAAATAATCTCCGGTAGCTCTTGCATATTCCCCAGGTCATTCAACCAACATTAAGTAATTCAATATCCAACCAAACACTCATATAACAAAAATGAACAACCAAAAGAGAAACAGAGAAGGCAATCAACAGGTGAAAAACAATTCTGCAAGGGCCAGTGATACAACTGTCATCTTAAAAGTACAGGAATAGTAGTGAAATAATAGAATCAAACACAAAATCACACATAGTTGATTCTTGTATTTGTATTCTTAGCGCATTAGCATCTTATGTCTAACTCTCTATAACAAGGAGCACAGGAACAGAAACTCATTCTTCGTATAACAATAAATCAACATGTCATCCATCCACACTTGCTCAAGTGTCCAACAAATATTGACAAAATTGAGTATTTTCCACATGAAGGACGAAAGGAAACTTTCCAAAAAATTCATAGGATGCTAGTGGAGTCTTCAGAATGACAATATGCTACTGATTAAAATGCATTTGTACCTAGAAAACTACCAAATAATCTGAAAATCATAAAAATATCAACAAACACTGTCAGAAAACTTAGTAAGAGCACATGCATATAGAACGCTTATGATAAGATCCTCCTCCATATAAGAAACAAGATTGTACAGCCACCCACTTGCCACAAACATTTGAATAACATCCGCTTCATAAGATCCTCCATCCAGAGCCCAAAAGGTTCTTTTAAAATCCAAAACCAGTACCACTGAACCCATCCAGCTACATTGGCAAAAGAGTTGCTTCATACCTGCTGCCACCCAATAGCCAAAAACATTGGAATAACAGGATCCATTTTGAGGATAATGTTCGCAATTTAATCCTATGTTACATCATTTTAGTGATTTGAACCTTGTAAAGATATAAGAGGACATTCATCATTAAAGTCTGTTACATTCAGTTGTCTAATATAGATCCCCTTAGATCTTAATTCACCACACCAACTTATTGAACTTCCACAACAATCAGCAACTTAGCTACAATTACAAGCAATTTGCCATAACCTTTAAAAAATCTTTAATACAAAAGGTTAAAAAATGCAGAACCTGCCTTAATCTAGGCAATTTTACATGCTTTTATCTCACTTCTCATCTCAGCCCATGTCAAAACACATCATTGTCAACTCAGATTTTCTCTCCTGATACCCTGGCATAGAAACATCACCTAATATTTCCTAAAATTGCATGTCAAATTCCCAATAATCTGCCTATTACAGCAAAAAACACGTATGTAACAGCATGCCTCCCACTCAATTTCTACAACTTCTACTTTTCCTCACTCCAATAAAATGCAAATTAAAAAACTTGCAGCCAAAGTAAGCATATAGGATACTAGGGCAAGACCTGAAGTGGGCCTTTCATGACTAAACTCTTATTAACTAACTTCATTACATCTCTCATAAATAACCTTTGTCAACCTGATGATTGTTTTGTGCCTAAAGCTCATCAAATTAACTCTACAAGATAGTACCATGCAAAATCAATAAGATTGTCCAGCATTCCAAACTTAAAGCCTTTGTTTTTTCCTCATTTAATTATTTAATGGACCAAAAGATAGCAAATGTCAGTTGACACTTACAAACAAAATTTCTCCATCAAAAGCGGGGTAAAAACAAGAAATGGCTCATACAGTGCAAATAGAGAAACTCATTACATTAGCATAAACACAAAGAGAAAAGGAAAAAAGGCCACACCACAAAGATAACAGTCTAAGTGTAACAGCATCAGCATTATTTGGAGCATGCGAAACCATTATCATTCTCATTGAAACCATCAACGAAAAAGTACTGCACGGCAGTAAAAAAAATAATGATTGCAACAGAATATACACACAGAAGCAAAGTTGTGGTAAATATACACAAGTAATATATTGCCTCAAGGTAAAAGTACATGCAATGCATTGGCAAATTCTTACACCAAACAATGGCAGTATTGCATCATTAGCACTGCAAAAACAGGAAGATTCAAAACGTTTGAAAAGGTCGCCACTATCTTCAGTGTCAGAATCGAACATTCGAGCAGCAAAAGAAACTTTCACCCATTTTTTCCCGCTTGATTATCATGTAAGTCCATCAATCAAAGCCTCCAATTCTCTCCTCCCATACCTCCTACCCTCTGCATTAGCTTCCCTACACCTCACCACAAAGTAAAATATCAACCAAGCCACCATGAAATACACCTCCAAAGCTGCCTGAATAACTGTAGCAAAAAATTCCCCACCTATATGAGCCAAAACCCATCTTGCCAAAGACCCACCTAAGATAGCTTCGTAACACTTAATCTGTATCGCTTGGTTCAACAGTGTTGACATCAAATAATAACCTTCTTTAATAATTTCCCTCCCGGTTCTCCTCGAATCCACAATGGCAATCCAAGCAGCTAACGAGAATGCAAATGAAACTAAAGTATCCATCAAAAACCACGTAAATAGAAACCCTGAAATCTCCTTCTCATAACCTCTAATCCACGGTGCCATAACCGAAAAAGGCAGCAACTTTAACCTAACAAAAAGCATAAAAAAAGAGTAGTGATCCTCAATTTCCCCAAAATACCATAATCCAAGAAGCTGAGTCACCGCGTCTCTTACAGCCCATTTCATTAAAACGAATCCAGTGAGTCTTTTTAAACCCACTTTTGACCCATCCCAAAAAGCCCCAAAAAAGGAAACAAATCTTCCAATCAAGCCATTAACAACTGTAACAAAAAGAACACCCAAAACCAAAGAGTAAATCGCTGTAAACCCTAGAATTACCCATCCATACGCCGCCGACAAAAAGCTGACGAGAAAGAAGAGCGCCGCTGCGTCACGGTGGCTCAACTCCAATCCTTTATAAACGAACTGATAATCCACAATTCTTTCTTCTTGTTGTTCGCTTTCGCTGTTTTCGTAGTCAAACGTGGTCGTTTTGAATTTGACTCCATAACGAACAATTTCCGGTAGCAGAATTCCGTTATCCTCAACGAAATGAGAAAACCCCAATTTAGTGTCGAAGTTGGAAAGAATCAGCGGCGTGTCGTTAAGGGGGCGGTTAGAGAAAGAACCCAAGAGAGAGCGGTCGCGGTGATCATCGTCGGTCGAAAAGAAGTCGTCGTCGAGAGTGCCGACGCGAGTGAGGTGGAGGAAAGGGCGGCGCGTGTGGCGAAGAGTAGGCTGGAGACGCGCGTGGGGGTGGGCAGGGTGAAGGTCGACGCGGGAAAGGAGGGATTTGAAAGAAGGATCGCGGTCTATAAAGGAAGTGAGGAGAAGGGAACCGGATTCAACTAAGGAACGGAACGAGAGGAGCAGGAAAGAAAGGAAGAGGAATGTGAAAGGGTGGGCGGTGAACTGCACGGTTGTTTTTTTAAGGATCTGGGATGTGGACCGTAGTTGGCCGAACCGGGGGTGGTGATCGGTCATGGCAGGGTTTTTTCCGAGGGTAAGAGATACTCGTTTTCTGATTTCCTCTTTGGTTCGAGATTTTAAGGATTTCGTTTTTCTTCTTGTGGATGTATTCTTTGGGTCGTCGGAAAGTTCGAGGAAAGAAACGGGGTTTGGAAAAAGCAAAGGCCTAGAAATTTTGATGGGCTGGTTTTAATAGTTGGGCCCATATTTGATCCAAATGAAAGTAAAATAATTATGCAATTAATTTTTTTACTCATCCAAAATTTAAATTAATTTGTTTTATACACTGCAGATTTTTTAAAATTAAAATATCATCAAATGTAATATTTTCAATTTTTATTTTATTATTTTCGTTAATTTTTTAAAATTCAAATTTCAAGCGATCTCTTTTTTTTTTTTTTAATTTAAGATATATTTTAAAAAAATTATTAAAGGTAATTTAGTCCTTTCTTTTTTAAATTCCTTTCAATGAGATTTTTTTGTCATTAATTACACTTTAACCATCGAAGAAACGAATTTGGTCAATTAACATTACTACATTTACTTATTTTCAACAACTACAACCTAACCATGTCCCCTTCCATTAAAACTCATTATGGAGAAATGGTTGTTTCAATTAAAATTGCTTCTGGCAACATTCAGTCCTTGGGGATTGAACGAAAGAATTCTAGTCAATGTCTGCCGTATCGCTCAGTTTTCTAACCTCCCATGGACTCATTGGTTAATGATACAGTCAGTCTTCAACCAGCACCTTTCCTTGTAGAATATAACAAGCCTTGTGACCAGATCTCAAATGCAAAGAATGTAGAGATAACAGACAAGATTGACCAAAACTCCAGCTCTCAAACATGAGCTTATGTTATGACATGAAACAGATAGCTGAAAAGGACAACATAGTTGAGTTTTGCCTTTTTCGCATTTTCTTTTCCTTTAATTTCATGCAGAAGGATAGAATGTCATTCTCATATAACGATTTTCTCAGGCTATTTGTGGATGCGGCCACGGAAATGACAAGCAAATAAAAAGCAAAATACAGAGTTCAAAAATAGCACCAGGGTTCTCAACAATCAAAATTTTAAAACAACGCCATAGGATAGAAGAGACCAATGAAGTGGAATAGCTTAGTTAAACTCGGGCTTTTCTGGATACGTGCAGCCAGACCTTTGGATAATAACGTTGGATGCATAGCAGCCAGCTTTTACGCAAACATCAATAGGCTTCCCCTGAACCAATTGTGAAAGAAAGCCCCCGACGAATGCGTCACCTACAGAAAATAACTCTAAATTGTTAACAGTGACTTCATTACGTGGTTATGATTCTGTTTTTGAATCACCAATATGCCAGATGGGATCAAAGTTAGATCATATGACAACTAATAGTAACTATTTCTTCTTTCATCCACTTGTCTACCCTTACAAACCTCAACTCTTGTATTTTCTACATATGAGTCTCAAACAGTAGTTGATTTTAGCATTCACAGTTGTCAAGTCATGGAAGTGAAGGGAAAAGACTATATACCTGCACCATTTGTATCAACAAGCTTTTCCTTGGGTAACAATATTACAGGGAACTGCTTTACTTTCCCATCCTCGGCAACAACCACCGGATCTGCACCCTGAGTAATAACGGTAATCCTCTTGAATGTTCCAGATGCCTTCGGCCACTGCGAAATCTTCAAGGCTATCTCTGCAACATCATCAGTCTGGATGGCAAAACCAGCCCAAACAGGTCAAATACGAAATATTAACCATCCATCACAGCAATTGATATTTAACAGTTATTACCTTCCAGCCATGAACCTTTGAGAAGGTTCTTGCTTCGGTCTCATTGCCAAAGACAAAGTCCATATACCTGTTTGACAACAAATCAAGACACTTACTTTAATGTATGTATATTAATTTCCACAGTACCACAATATGATACAACACTTACGGTAAAACTTTCTCCTGTGCATCCTTGAAGAACTCACAAATAAATGGAGCAGAAAGATTCATTGAGAATACCTGCAGATAAAATAAATATGTCAGGCCACTAACCTGGTGAACTTGTGTAAAGAGGGATTTTAGTTATGTGTGACATAAGATACCTTGTTATTTGCAGCTGCATGTTCAGCAACAAGCTGTATTGAGTCTGGAGATACAGTAAGAAAAAATCCAGCAATATAAAAATACTTGGCCTGCTCCACTGCATAAAATATTTTGTAAACAAGTTAGTATCTAGAAGCTATAACCAGACAGAAATCAAATTGTTCATTTCAATTATTCTCAATAGATTTCCACCAAAGAGTAAGTTTCATTAATGTATCAGACCAAATATAACAAAAAGAAAGCCAAGTCCAAGAAAAAAAATGAAAAAGAGTACCCAATGCCCAATTCTCTGGCCTCATCAAATGCTCAGACTTGTAGCAATTAGCAGCTGACAGATTTGCAATGAGCGACCTATAGATAGATCTAACTTTGAATCTTGCTACTCCAGTAGATAAAAACGTAAATGTTTTCATAACATCTTAATAATTGGAGCAAATATAAGAAAGTACAACAGCAAATTGGCAGCATAGAATAAATAAGGAAAAACACGCTCATTGTCGACTGACCTTTCACCACCTACAACACAAACAGCACAAGTCCCTGTTGGTGCAGATTCATCCTCAAGATAATGAACCTGATTAATATGCATCATACAACATCAACGATACAATTATTTTCAGTTTCAAATCTTAAGAGATACAAAAAATGCAACTCAAAAACATTATGCATCAGGAAATAGGAAGGTCAAGGGATATAGCAAAAGAAGCATAGCCTATTATGCTTAAAGCTGTGTGGAACTGAAATAAAAGAAACAAATATAACACTTGATCTTTTCCAATTGTTTTTAATTATTTTAGAGGCTAGGTGTATGGTTCATAAGGCCTCACATTAACACCAGCAGCTTTTGAGTTCTTCTTCATTTCCTCCCCAAACTGGTCCTTCCCAATACAACCGATGTAAGCCGTTGCACCAGGAATTTGTAGCATCCACTGCATGAGGCAAAAAGAACCTCACTCTACTGTAGCAATAAATGTTATGACTGCATTTTTACGAAGTTTTAACCAAAATAAAAGGCACCATGATATACCTGTGCAACTTTGATTGAATTCTGAGTAGCACCTGTACATAATAAAATTGAGAATCATTATTATCCACCAAGTTTTTATTGAAAATTCAGATTCCAACTTCTCTTTTTTTTTTTTCAAAATCAAATACCAAGGGCATCCAAGCATTACCTCCAGCAATATACTCTACATTGGGTTTGGCAGCCATTTCTTTATACCTGTCATAGAGAGCCATTAATAACAGTGCACACTGCACTTGTAAACAGGAGTAATTGCTAGAGAGAAAGTGGAAACTGTATAATGTTGAACGTGACAACAAACTGGAACCTCAAGTTTTCAACCAACAGATCATATCATTTTGAACCTATTAGGTCAAGCGAGACACTAAAAGCTCTATCTTATTTTTGAAGGAGTGTGACAGAGAGGATATCTCCGTAAGGAAATTGATTCAAAATTACATATGATTTTGCATCTTAAATTGCATGGCAAAAAGTCACATTCACCCTAAAGATTGGATGGTCAGAATGTCATGCAACCCATACTTTTAAACTTTTTCTGTCTTAGGTCCAAATTTATCCTATATTAAAGGTATTTTTTTCTTACAACTTTCCACCTTTGCTGTAATCTGTGAAGGAACACAATTTTTCGTGTAGATTAACCTTCAGTTAGTCTATATGCACAATTAACCATGTAAAGTGAACATAGAATGTGAAGAATAAAACATACAAAGACTATGCGTATATTCTTCTCATGAGCTAGGACTAATGTCAGTCTTTACATATCCTATTGCTCACATGCTATGTTCACTTCACATGCCCCGCAAGATAGGTGTGCCATCAGACACACCAATCGTGGATCTAAGATAGAGATGTTGTCTAGAAAAAGGTTTCCTAAGAACATCTGCGAACAGTTTAGTTGAAATATGCAATACATGTAGCAAGCCTTTTGACACTCAATCTCGAACAAAGTTATAATTAATGGCTATATGCTTCGTGCAAGAATGCAGGACCGTAGTAGCACTCAAACATGTAGTGTCAATGTTATCATAGAGTATAGTTGGTGGCTTATCTAAATGCAAACTAAGCTGAAGAAGCAAGTAACACAACAGACAAAATAGAATGTATTGTGGGAATATTAAAAAGACCTATCTTCTTAGTGCAACTCTACTTTGCAATCCAATTTGTTGGTATGTTTTCTTTTTACCCACATCCCTTGGACAGCATATTGGATTGCAAAGTGGAGTTGCACTAAGGAGATAGGTCTTTTTAATATTCCCACAACAGCTCCTATTTTATCTGTTGTGTTACTTGCTGATAGGTGCCACAGCCCATTGCATTTATTTCTTGTTCTTGGGTCTTTGGACCCCTTAACGCACCGAAAACAATTCAATCCAAGCTAGCTCAACAGCAGTAGAAGCAATGGCTTGATATTCAACTTCAGTTGAGGATCAAGCAACTGCTTCTTGTTTCTGAGAACAGCAAGAGATAACATTGCTGCCAAGATAAACAAAATAAGCTGAAGTAGAAGTATGATCATCAAAATTTCCTAGCCAAACCGCATTAGAGTAGACATGCAACAATGAGGAGAGTTCCATTTAGGAAATAAGTTTATGAAAGATAGCGCTTTCAAGTAGTGAAGAACACGCTTCAAGCTGCTCCAATGCAGTAGAGTAAGGGAATACATAATTGAGACACCTCGAAAGCTTGATTGGTTTTGGAATCCATTTCTTAGACCAAGATAGGTGAGTGTGAATAAAGTGAACATAGCATGTGAAAGATACAACATATAAAGACTAAGATTAGTCTTAGCACGAGACAAGTATATGCATTATTGTAGAATAAACAGAGTCTGTGCAAAAGCAAACACAGGCACCCTGTAAAGGCCGATAACATTTCCACCAACGTGGAAAGAATTTGCTTTCATCAACACAGCCTGTTGCAGCTGGAAAAATGTAAATAAGTTGTTAACTATTATATGTATATATATGTTAATATCAATGAAACAAATAGATTTGTCTTCAGTTTCACCATTCTTCCGTACTTCTATTTGTTCATACATCTATACCTGCATTGTTTTTTTCTGTCATATCATATTCTTTGTTTTTCCAAGCTAAACAAGTAAATCTATAATTTTTGGGAACAACAAGATTGAAAGAACATATCAATGTAATAATAGAAATGAATAAAAATTTGATCTAGTAGATCGAATAAGCCCTTGAATACATGAGCGAATGTGCGGTGAAGGAAGAGTTTAATAGATTTTTTTTGGCAGTTTAATAGATAAAATAATACAACTATAAATATTAATCACAGTTACAGTTAATCTAGTTTCACACTAAAATAAGAAAACAAAAACAAAATTTGCTTACATGGGTAGGTGTTTCTCCTCAGCTAAAATTGCATTGTTCATCTTGATATCGTATCTGTAACCAAAAACAAAACCAAACCCAACTAAGATTACACAACAACAATAAATCCCAACATAATCAAGACACATCCCTTAAATAAAAACAATAAAATCAAATATTCTAACCGTACTTTTTCAAGAAATCCTCGTCCACGACAGAGGAAATGTCAAGGAGAGGATTACCCATCCCCAAGAGAATTCCTTCATACGCCATTTTTGTGGGTTGTTGGTGATAGTTTGGTGAAAGGTAAAGCAAAGTAAGTAAAAAGATGAGGAAGAAGAAGCAGAATGAGAGCAGGAGACTATTAGATCTTGGTTTCGGGGAAATGGTTTGTGTTATTCAAAGTTTATGGACACCCATATTGGGCATTGGCCTGTCCCTATCTCACCAACCCAATTGCCCAGTCCCCCATTTTTCTTTTTTTAATCCCACCCTTTCACCTTTGGACATTTCCCTCTCTCTAAGTGGGTGAAATCATTGTTTAACCATCACCACAAAATCAGAATTTTCCCTTTTTTTTCTCACTTTTTATCCATTATTAAACTTATATTTATCAAAATTCTTCCGTTGTCGTAGTTTCAAGGAGGAATCTTTTACTAAGGTTTTTGTAATTTAATCTCAGACATAAACGCTTGTCATTTTTATAGGTATATTGTGTCTTGACTATTACTATCACCTACAGGAAATAGGAAACAGCTCAGCACTTCACAGCTAGTATAATATAACTTGATTGATTAAATGATATAAGCAGTTGTATCTATAAGAACAGTTCCACCTTAATCTCAGTAATATGTCAAAAATGCATCTTGTCTAAGTCTGGAAATGAAAGACAGAGAGTAAGAAACACATCATCTTCATGGTTTATTTGATGATAAATAAAAGGCCTCTAAACCTGCATGTTTTCTTCACCTTGAGACAGTGCATGGCCATCTGCCAAAATACAAGTGGACTGTACAATGCGTTACGATTTTAAATAATGCCATATGTTCTCTCTCCATGGCAGAAGATAGGGAGTTCAGAAGATTAGCTCCTTAGCCATCAAGATGATGTGATTTTATTCCTCTTAAATAAGAGAAGAAAACATTTAATCTTCGGTGAAAAAAGAAAATTGCTATCAAACTGCAACGAAACCCAATGCAAAACTAGAAATGTTACAAAGAAACAATCTTTAAAGGTGATCGCAAATAGCCTTAGTAAAATCAGTTGTTGTTGACGAGCCACCAAGGTCAGCTGTTCGATATTTCCCCTCTGCGATTGTACTGAGAATAGCATTCTGAATCCTATCAGCCTTGTCATGGAGATTTAAGTGGCGCAACATTGTGACCGCACTCAATAATAAAGCAGTTGGATTTGCCACATTCTAAATAATGTCAACCATATAAATAATTAGTTGGTTCCATGGAAAATGAAATTATACTCTGAGAAACAAAGTTAAAAGAGAGAAGTAAAAGGACTTGGGCGAAGGCAATTAACAAAATGATCATGACAGGCAAACATGACATTTTGGGTTCTTTTACTCCAAACTACCATCAATTCCTCACGGCTTAAAGTACCACAATCTAGAAACTCTAATATTCAAACGTGCCATGAAGCTTACTCCAGTCTCAAAAATCACCCATGAAATTCAAGATTAAAAACCTTACATAGCTTTGTAATTAGCATTAGGTGGCTTTATAATTAAAATAATGCATACAGTTATACCTTAATAGACCTTGACATACCTTCATGATCTATCTCGAGACATCCAGTCTCAACTCTCAACCATTATGATTTTCTTTGAATCCACTAAAGCACTACATGACTAATAATCCCTAGACATACCTTCACATTTTTTTACAAGTGCTCCTTGTGTATGCAAAATGAATGGCTCTATAAAAAGAAATGAAGGGCAGATACTCAATTAGAAGCCCTAAGATTTGAAGACTAACCTTTCCGGCAATATCAGGTGCTGAGCCATGAACAGCTTCAGCAAGTGCTATTCCTCCTTCACCAATATTGCAACTGCAGAAAAAGTATAATATGTTAAGCCATCTAGATTATGTTACCTATGATTGTTAGAAGGTGTAGTTACCTTGGTGTTAAGCCCAAGCCCCCAATCAATCCAGCACAGAGGTCACTGATAATGTCACCATAGAGGTTAGGCATCACCAATACATCAAAAAGTGCTGGATTCTTCACAAGCTGCAGGTGGCAAAAAAGTAATTAGCTCTACATAACAATTTTCACTTCCATAAAGATGAACTTCAGTTCTCTTTGTATCTAAACAAGAACTGTTTTTTGTCATTTGTCGAAAGTATTTTGCCAAAAGCAATATGGGCAGAAAGGTAGTGCCTAGAGTAGCTGATTCAAAATTTGACCTCTCTCCATCGCCTTGAACCATAAGTGGGGAAAAATAAAGTAATATAATACTTATAGGAGGAAATCTGTCATACCATCATACAGCAATTGTCAATGACTACTTCCTCATACGTTATCTCAGGGTATTTCTCTGAAACTTCACGGCAGCACTGGAAAAAGACAATTAAACCAAACTTAATAAACAGTACACAATAAAATTAGTGAAGAACCAACAAACTAGGCATTCGAATTGACAAACCTTGAGAAAAAGACCATCCGTTTTCTGCATAATATTGGCTTTATGAATTGCAGAAACTCTCTGTCTTCCATGGGTCTTAGCATAATGAAAAGCATATTCAGCCACCCTCAAGCTTGCCTGACGAGTAATAATCTTGAGACTTTCAACCACACCTCTCACCACCTAGCACCCAAAGCAAAAGAATTACCTCCTCGTATTTATGGTGAATACCCCATTTATCAAATTGCGCACAAACTATCAAAGCAAACTTACTTGATGCTCGAGTCCACTGTACTCCCCTTCCGTGTTTTCACGAATAGTGATGAGATTTACATCATCATACCGAGTCTTATATCCCGGGAGGCTATAACACGGCCTGACATTGGCGTAGAGATTAAGTTCTTTCCTTAGAGTAAGGTTCAAAGACCTATGACCTTTACCAATAGGAGTAGCCATTGGACCTTTCAAGCCTACCCCATTCCTTCTTACTGATTCTAAACTTTCCCAAGTTAGAAAACTCTGAGTTCTTGGATCAATTTGGTCCCCAACATAATGCTCTTCCCATTCAATGGTCACTTCAGCTGTTTTAAAAACCTGAATCAATTAAAATTACTCAGATTCCACCAAATTTTCAGTAAACGTCAATAAAACATGGGTCTTGATAATTATTTTTTATACAAATATTTATCAATTTATAATTTCTATAAAACCAGTTTCTTTAAACTAAAAATAGATACTTGTTGACAGTTTGTGCCTAAATCAAAAACTTCTTAAACCAAAAATTTCCAATTTTTAACACTAAGGATTCAATTCCATTGACACAAATATAAAGAAATTTAAAAATCGAGACTTTACAAGCGAAAATTCGAAGGAACAGATATTAAAAATAAGTAAGAGAAAAACTGGAGAGACGTTGGGAACCTGTTTGACGGACTCAGCGATCTCGGGGCCGATGCCGTCGCCGGGGAAGAGAGTGGCTCGGATGGGAGCGGTAGCGGAAGAGAAAGCTTTCGCTAAGGAGAGCTTCGAGTTAGGTTTAGGGTTGGCCTGGGAAAGAATCTGACCAAGTCGTCGTCTCAGGACCTGCGTCGCCATTGATCGCGTTGGCTGGCTGGGTCGCAACTTTTCGATTGCGTTGAATAAAAACCAAATTTCTAAAAATTATTGTAAAACTAATGTAATTCCGAAATATGGCCAGTCAGGACACAGGACAGATTCTTTTTATCTTTTTTAACACTTGACCAATGAAATAATTCCACGTGTACACCATCATTTGGGTCTATATTACAACACCTTGTAGCCCATTTTGAGAAAAGCTGCAATGATCCAACCAAACCAACACCATCTAAATTCTAATCAAACAATGGGTTGCCCTGGAAAAGCCATCTTACTCAGGCCTAATGAAACAAAATGATTTTCCAAATAATCCCATTGTACCATCAAGGCCCGATTGGGTCAATCTGAAGCCCATGTTTCTTGCCCATGTAATGGAAATGGGAATGGGCCGAATGGCTTTCTGAAGAGCTTCAAATGGAGAATTAGCCTCCTTTCGGCTTTATCAAGCTAAGTAAATCCATGGCAGCCAGGATCACACAACTAGCAATTTTGGACCACACTGCGTATCAAAATGATCCTATCAGGCAGGCAGGCAGGCAGGCAGGCACGCAGCAATTGCTTTCTTGTTTCTGGTAATACTTGATCTGCCACAAGACAAAGTGGCTTTGGAGTTGGACTACTAGGAAATTGTTGTAATAAGGAATTCATAATTCAGTTTTAACCGAATTAACATATTAAATTTATTTTATTTAATTAATTGATTAATTATCAAATTAATTTTTATTGATTTTAAAAAAATATTAATTTTTTATTAATAAATAATTAAATTAATTAAAATTTTAATCGAAATATTATAAAACTTATATATAAAATTAAAAATATATGAATTTGTCTACTTCATTTCAAGTTATTAAAGTTTTTAATTTAATACTTTAATGTCTTGAATATTTTTATTAGAAGATATAATTAATATGTTTCACATATAAAAAAATAAAAATTTAAAATATAAGTTAATTTAATAAATTTTATTATTTTATTAATTAATAATATTAAAAAATTAATCGAATTAATTTTAATAGATTAATTTTTAAAATTAAAAAAATTAATTCAATTAATTAAATTAAAATAATTTAATTTAATTAATTAAATTTTAAATAATTTAATTCAAAATTATTTATAAGAAAAACTCTAGTAATTAGAAGTCAGACTCAGAACATCTTTTCTTACATGAAATCAGCAATTCTTAAGACTCGAAAGAAGGAACCGTCAACTATCCTTCGCTCTTCAGACTTTCAAAGTTCAAATCCACGTTAAGCTCGTGTAGATTATGGTTTTAGTAAACTGGCAGGGTGCAGTTGTAGCTGATGTCAGCTTTAGTAAATGCCGGAAATGGCCAATGAGGAAAATAAATGCTCTTTTATTTATTATTATTTTTTTCTCTCTGTTAGCTGCAACTGCACAACTTCTTTGCAAAATAAATGTGCTTTGGTGTGCATTACTGTGTCACGGGGGCCGAAAATTTAAGCCTAACTATTGTACAGTTTTAGGCGGGATCAAAGACTCGTGCGCTTTACATGACAACTGCTTGGGCTAAAATTTTGTAATCCAATAATATTAATAGAAGTGAAATTAAATAATAAATTAAATACATAAAAAATAATAATTTAATGTGATTTGATTTAATTAATTTATATTTATGAATAAAAAATAAGATCCATTAGTTATAAAAAATTACAAACATACATCAAATCATCAACTTTACTCAATAATCAATACTCATAAGATACTCTCAATATTCTTTAATGCTATGAAGTATTTTCAACCAAAACAAACACAAATCCAAATTCTTGTACACTCTTTCAACATAACTAAACACATACCCATATGCTCTTATACATTATACCTATATACTCATATGGTCTCATATATCATATATATGTAGACCCTCTCAGTATCCTCTAGTTCACTCATAAATAAACATACACATCCATAAGACGTAGAGCCCCAATCTACCTATGGGGTGTCTATCCTACAAAACCCTACAACTCTCTTACATTTTTTTCTCATATCTAACCTTGTAGACCTATAGAGACTTCATATATTTATAATCATACAAACTTGCTTATTAAGAATCTCTCTCCTCTTAGAATTCTTCTCCTATAAATTAAACTTGCTTGTTAAGAATCCATTTTCTTCTAGAATTCTTCTCTTGCAAGTCAAACATACCTATTAAAAATCATTTTTCTCTTAGAATTCTTCTTTTGCAAGTCTTCTTATCCATCAAGTAATATCTGACAAATCTCAAACAAATCTCTAACAAATCCCAAACAAACTCTTATGGGATTTGAGTCAATATTCTCAACAATTTCCACCTTGACTCAAATTTCATCAATCATATATCTTCATGCTAGATATGCTTGGCTCCACCTGCAATGAAAGTCTCACAATCATTTTTTCTTCTCTTGTGTCTTCATGCTTCATACAAACTAATCATCAATCTTCAAAACTTAAACTCGAACTCTTCTCTTGAATCGAGCTCTTCTAGACTTGCTTCTTCCTATATCTCAAACCATGCACTTCTCACATCTTAAACCTTTAGCTCTTCTCACATCTCAAACTTTTAGCTCTTCCACGTCTCGAACCTTCGGCTCTTGTCACATCTTGAATCTTTAATTTTTCTCACGTTTCGAACCTTCAGCTCTGATATCACTTGTTGGAGAACACTATAGCTCTGATACTATTTGTTGGGCTAAAAGTCTTTAATTCAATCACACTAGCGGAAGCGAAATCAAACAATAAATCAAACACACAAGAGACAATAATTTAACGTGGTTTAGTCCAATCAACTTACGTCAACGGATGAGAAACAAGTTTCACTAGTTGTAGAGAATTACAAACATATATCAAATCATCAACTTCACTCAACAATCAATACTCATAAGACATTCTCAATCTCTTATAGTCCTATGAAGTATTCTTAACCCAAACAAATACAAACCTAAACCCTTGTGCACTCTTTCAACATAACCAAACACATATCGGTATACTTTCATACATTATACCTATGTGAACCCTCTCAGTCTCCTCTAGTCCACTCACAAGCAAACATATACACTTATAATATGTAGAGCCTCAATACTCTTATGGGGTGTCTATCCCATAAAATCCTACAACTCTTTTATATTTTTTTCTCATACCTAATCTTGTAGACATGTAGAGACTTTACATATTTATAACCATACAAACTTATCCATTAAAAATCCCTCTCCTCTTATAATTCATCTCTTGTAAGTTAAACTTGTCTGCTAAAAATTTTTTTTTTTTTAGAATTCTTTTATTGCAAGTCAAACTTATCTATTAAAAATTTTTTTCTCTTAGAATTTTTTTTGTAAATCTTCTTATCCATCAAATAATATCTGATAAATCTTAAATAAATCTTTAATAAATTTTAAACAAATCTCTTATGAAATTTGAAATAATATTCTCAACAGCACGAACCAACTTCTTTTTAATTATAATCAAAATCTTTGGAAATTGTGGATGTCAATGATGACCGAGGATTTCCAGGATCAGAGAACCCACGGCCAATACATTGCTTAACATGTAGCAGTACAAATTTATGTCCTTTCATTTGCTATCTTGACTAGTTTTGTTTTGTCATTGGAGTTATTGAACATACCATTATTAATGGATCGACTCTTATCAAAATTTCATAGTTAAGTAAGTTTGGATGAGAGTAATACTAATATGGATGACCTTTTGGAAAGTTCTCATGTTTTGCATTTTTCCCCTCTTTTAGAGGAGAGCCTTAGCGCAATTATCAGATTGTTATCATGTGACCTAAAAGTTATAAATTCCAGTCACGTAAATAATCATTGATAAAAATGCAAGATAAGATTGCATTCATTAAATCTTTTCTTAGATCCATGCATAACCAAAACTGTACACATCAAATTGCATTTTTTTTTATTAGAATTATTGAACACACTTGTCACGTTTCTGGCATTTTTAGGTGGCCAAGCATGACCTCTCGGGGACCAAATGTATTAAAAAAAAGTTTGCCTTTGTGAAAACATGTACGGAACCCAAGTGGCTCTCATGAAAGTGCAACAAAGATTGGGAAAATGAAAAAGTAAAAAGATTGAGTTGATTTTATTACTTCAAGAATTTCTCAACATTGTAAGGATGAAGCTAGGAGTTATCTTCAGTTTCATTTCAAATATTACTAAAGTAAGGTTCAGTTTTAAGAGTAGCAAGCAATCTACATCCTATTACTTTTTTTGGTAAGTATGAGAATATCGGAAGAAATTATAAATTTTGAAATTTAAATCTAAATTTGTTAGATGTTAAATTTAAAAAATGATTGAATGAATAAATTAAGTTAAGTTTCGGATTTAAGTTAATTCTACTATTTTGATAACTAAAATATGAAAATTAAAGAGATGAAATGAGAAATAAACATGTTGCATATGCATTCATAAAATTAACATCTTTTACAAGGAAATCCAAAAAAAAAAAAAAGATGAAACACAAAGAAAAGATCGAATAACAAATTTCAAAGATAAAAATGAAAAGCAAACTAGCAGATTGGAAGAGGGGCACCGTTCCATTCCTTAAGACATTCCAGCATTGGATCAACGATCTTCCCTTGGCACATAGCTGTGAACACCTTGTCAAACTCCTCACCAGGTGACTTGGCTTTTTCTCCGGTTAGCAGCCCTATTCCGAGCTCGTCCCTCACGAATTTGTACAATGGATAAGATCTGCATTCCTTGATCTTGTTAGGAATTGCTGCATTTCCATTTTCAAGTGAAACCCTTGCAGTCTCAACCTCCTTTGGCAAAAGAGCCTTTAATTCCTCTTCAAAAGCTGTGATCTTTTGGAAGATTGACGTGCTTGCATTCTTCTCATTCTCACCATTTGTCATTGCATGCTCAACTAGTACTTGCCTCAGCTTTTGCATCAATGGATAGGTAGCACTGCAGGGATCATCAATATAGGCAAAGACATATTCGCGGTCCACAGCTTTGAGTAAATCTTTCTCACAGAATCTTGAAGGGTGAAGTTCACCGTTGGCACCAGTATTGAGGATTTTCTTAGCTATCTGGCTCACAGTGTTCTTCACTGTGTTCCTCATATTCTC